GACACAATTAACACGTCATTTCAACTACAGCACCAAATACTGATGGACTTTTTAAATGGTAAGACACAATAAACTCGTCATTTCAACACCAGCACCAAATACTGATGGACTTTATCAATGGTAAGACACAATAAACACGTCATTTCAACTATAGCACCAAATACTGATGGACTGTATCAATGGTTAGACACAATAAACTCGTCATTTCAACTATAGCACCAAATACTGATGGACTTTATCAATGGTAAGACACAATTAAACACGTCATTTCAACTACAGCACCAAATACTGATGGACTTCATCAATGGTAAGACACAATAAACACGTCATTTCAACTACAGCACCAAATACTGATGGACTGTTTCAATGGTAAGACACAATAAACTCGTCATTTCAACTGTAGCACCAAATACTGATGGACTTTATCAATGGTAAGACACAATAAACACGTCATTTCAACTACAGCACCAAATACTGATGGACTGTATCAATGGTAAGACACAATAAACACGTCATTTCAACTACAGCACCAAATACTGATGGACTTTATCAATGGCAAGACACAATAAACACGTCATTTCAACTACAGCACCAAATACTGATGGACTGTTTCAATGGTAAGACACAATAAACTCGTCATTTCAACTATAGCACCAAATACTGATGGACTTTATCAATGGTAAGACACAATAAACTCGTCATTTCAACTACAGCGCCAAATACTGATGGACTGTATCAATGGTAAGACACAATAAACTCGTCATTTCAACTACAGCACCAAATACTGATGGACTTTATCAATGGTAAGACACAATAAACACGTCATTTCAACTATAGCACCAAATTCTGATGAACTTTATCAATGGTAAGACACAATAAACACGTCATTTCAACTATAGCACACAATACTGATGGACTTTATCAATAGTAAGACACAATAAACTCGTCATTTCAACTACAGCACCAAATACTGATGAACTTTATCAATGGTAAGACACAATAAACACGTCATTTCAACTACAGCACCAAATACCAACAGACCATATACCTGCTAAGACATTATTAACACACGTTACTTTAACCAAACGTTGATATACTACCCCATAAAGTCATTACTATTGCATCACATATTCACAGACTACATCACTGCTAAAACATAATAAATACACGTCATTTCAACTCTTCCCCTAAATAAAACAGCAACTGTCGACAATGAACACTGTGATAACGTCTCGTGAAGCAGCAAGCAGGCACGTAGTTTACCTTACCCTTTGACCTCCGTGTTATCAGAGGTCAGACAAGGAGGTCAGAGACAGCCACACAGAAAATAGAACACAATGGGTTTTAATCAATACATCGCCCTACATCTGCGGCAGTGACACTGACGTTGTACTGGGGTTGACATGCAACTATACTATTTTAAACTCATTTTAAACACGCCCCATACATCTTTGGTATATATCCTTTTTTTGTAGTTTTCTATTTATAGCAGAAACTGGTAGTACTCTGCAATGAACACTAGTCATCCATGTTAGTCTAAGCAAAGACGTATATATGTCTTTGGTCTATGAGTAACATGGATGACAGGTGATCGTGTTTATTAATTCCTGCGCTGTCTGTAATCAGAGACGTCTACAGGTACTCACTGTGTCCGTTCTATACATACAATTGGGATCACATGGGGTATATATACTCGCGGGTTGAATCTCAGGTGGGAGGATTGTATAATATGTAACGGTAAACTGGCATTTCAACGAGTATCATCTGTGCAGTATACTTAAACATGTCACGGGTATAAATTCAACAGAGATTTCCAAAAAAATATAGCGTGTGTTTAACGGGACTAATTTTTTTAGGTTTCAACTGTACTCTAAAGGGCTATAATATATTTACACAGGTGGTCAGCCCTGGTTGCATCATACCAAAAGACGTTACAAGATGGTACTTGTTGTTACCATACCTGACGCTCGGTATAAGAGGATAAAGCAAGGACTGGTTGGATCGGAGTCCGTTCAATGTGTCTGAGTGGGGTGTTCATGTTAAGCTGCGGCCGGCAGGGTGAGGTAAGGTGAGGGTGAGGTAAGGTGAGATAAGAGGGGTGTACCGTCGTTTCAAGATTATTGCATTTATATAGGGACGTGCATTCGTGTGTGTGTGTGTTAGAGAGAGAGAGGGAGGGGGGATACAAGTACCATCTTTCAACGTCTCTTTGATAGGACGCGGTCTGGGATCGAAACACCGACCTCTCGCTCTCCGATCAGACGCTCTGTCCACTAGACTCCAGAGAACAGAATGAAAACACACACACACACACACACTCTCTCTCTCTCTCTCTCTCTCTCTCTCTCTCTCTCTCTCTCTCTGTATATATATTTATATATAGTGTTTATATATATATATATGTATATAAGCACTGTACGAGTATGGCCCAAAATATATCAGGGGCCCTGTTCCATAAAATGATCTTAGGGCGAAGATGGAAGTTACTATCATACTTAAACAAAGACAATAGTCGTAGTACTAAGATCGCTTTGTGTTACGTGGCCTCCACAATATAAATGAGTTGGAGGTATGGGGCGTGCTTAGAGCATAGGGTTATGACGTCAAATTCATACTGTGACCGTCCGCCGTACAATTCCTAAATGCATTGAGTTTTAATTGCAATAACGACACGTCAGGTGCATACTTTGTGTGTTTGCATCTCATTCCTGTATGCATACAATATGTAATTTGTTTGTTGCTTAACGCCACACTCAGGAGTATTCCAATTATATGACGGCGGTCTGTAAATAATCGAATCTGGACCAGACAATACAGTGACATCACGAGCAATCGATCTACACAGTTGGGATACGACGACATGCATCAACCAAGTCAGCGAGCCTGACCACCTCATCCCGTTAGTCTCCTCTTACGACAAGCATGAGTTGCTGAAGACCAATATCTAACCCGGAATCCTCACGGGACATTATGTACATGTATGGACAGGTCGGAATATTAAAGACATAAACGTTTCATCTTGTAGTCAAAACTTTAGATTCCTGTCTACATTTATTACATCAGCAGCATGATCTCCTCGCATCAGTGATTCTTATTAATGTAAGAACGCTGAATCTAAACTCAGGCACTGCATGGCCCCACGGCGTGAGATAATCATAACATCAGCAACATCAACATGTCGACCCAATAGCACCAGCAATAAAAGAGTTGCATATTAACTGGAACCATGAATGTGGGAGTTATACCAAACTCCTCTTGAACAATATTTCACATAGGCCGCGAAGCATAGCAAAATGTGGCAGAAAAGTCCAAATAGACGTTTTTAAGAGGATGCTAATTTGCTGAAACCAACGGGCAGGAGTATCTTGCTTATAGAAAGGTTCTCAATCGGGGCGAATCTTGCATGGCAAGCATAGAACCCACGACCCGCTAAAGGACGCAACTATGCGTAATGCATTGCGTCGCATGAGGTCACAGGTCTACCCCCTGCCCACAGAGCCAGCTGTTGGGGGGAGATTATTACTCAGCGAGAAATGTGCATTATGACTGATGGACATGAATTACCTTTGATTACGTTAGGACAATCTGTGCAATGATGGTCTCTGTAAGGTAGCGTGTAATATATATGTAATATAAAAACATAGAAATGAAGTGTCGTTTTGTATTTATTACAGTAATCTTACTTCAGCCTTTGAAAGGCATTTAGAAGTGATACACATAAGGAAGAGAATTTATGGATGTCAACTTCTTTATTATGAGGAACACGTTTCGGAGTATATCGGGTGAATGATGAAGGAGTAAGGATATACTCCGAAACGTTGTGTCAATAAAGAAGTTGACATCCATAAATTCTCTTCCTTATGTCATGTTACTTATTTTCATTTTCAATCAGCTGATTGTTATAGTGTAGGAAAATAGACATTCTTTTCTGTATGAACTGTTGTTAAAATAACGTAACCTTACTGTCAGCGTTACCAGTCCTGCTCGTACTGCTGGCCGGGGTTCTACATAAAAAGGTACATAAGTTATACTTGTAAAATAAAATGTATTTTCAATTTATAATTCTACTGTACTTTATTATTTGTGTCATTTCTTCTTTCTTTGGACCATACTTAAATATTCATATTCTTTCATAATTCTATTTTTTATCCTCATTATAATACAGTGACGGGGTTATTGAGAACATGGTGCATGATGACGCAGACTTCAGCGTTATTTCATAGTGACACCTCATTAGATGCTGTATAAAGTTGAACTGTACCACAAAGGGAAGGAAGTGACTGAGCGCAGCCTGGGCGTGACTCTGCTTGTCAGTTCAACACTAAATAAACATGCCCCGTTTCTTTGTAGCTGTCTGTCATCGATAAAAATAGCCAATGACGTAATAATCACAATAACGGTTTCGGCAAAACATCGTCCAAAACGGACTATGATAGCCGATGAAAGTGTCTTTTCGTGAAAGTTAATCGTGTGTTCAGTCTAATGTGTAATTAATAGGTGAATAATTAATTATAGACGACGTTCCTGTTCGTGAGAATATGATGCAAGGTTCACTTCCGGGATACAGCGAGCTCTCATTACTAAAATACATACACAGTTTCTGCATCTCTGAGACCGCGAGAATGCTTCGACAGTACAATAAATGCCTAGTTTGAAGATTGAGCCGAACTTATTGCTATCAAATATACAAAACTGAAGAGAAAGCTGTTTATGTCTCGTGTATACAAACACGACAGTAACCATCATGTGGGTTTGTTTACATCGAACAGCTGACCGCAGTGTATCGCGTGTCAATCATCTCTGACCTTTGACCTTAAATCTCCCAAACAGTTACACATCAATGTTTATCGGTTATACGAGTCTCTATTACTGACATATCTCAATTAATAGTGAAAATAGACATAACTGCAGCTTGTAGAGCCAATATAAGCGCAAAAAATTGGATTTTATGTTTCAAATAGGCGTGGCTTATATGTACCACGTGACCAGGATACGTCACTCCCATAGCAGATATCTACTCCGCCATAGCTGTTGTTGTTGTGGAAGAAGACAGATCTGGACGGGTTATTTAGGTGAAATTTTCTCACTATGTCGTCCCCAAGCCCCGGTAAAAGACGGATGGACACTGACGTGGTCAAATTGTATCCTAGTTTCACAGCATTTGTGTGGTGTTGATCAATTTAGTAGGCATTTGTGCAAATGTCACCTAACTTCTCGTTGGCATAAATTTCGTTTCACTTGGGCTCGGGCCCTCGAAAGGGCATAAATTTTTGTCAGCTGGCAACCCCAACCGTTTTCTCATGCATGGATAATCGATTAAAGTTATATCGTCTTATATGCTTTAAGTTTCAAGTAGATGTATATGTGGAACGCTGCATGTTCGTCATCCTAAATAAGGTCATGCAAAAGACCGTTCCAATTTTATCGAGGGAGACCAGATTGCATCGTTTGTAGGTAAACAGGTCACGGTTATGTTGTTGTCAGGTATGTGACCGTGAAACAGCCCTGCTCTCAATGAAACTAACCAGTCAATATTGTGTATCGCTTTATATGCAACTCGAACCTTTCACGAACATTTGTACAGTGGCAACATTTGTTCGTCTTGAAGTGTTACTTTAGCGTCCCAAACATTTTACTGTTACAAGGGTAAGTGGTTGCAACATCCATTACATGGAAACAGTTGTTAGCATTGTAAAATTAAGACTGGCGTACCTAACATGTGAATGCAAAGTAAGCAATGATAAGTGGATACAACATGCTTTTATTAATTGTGTGAGCATATGAGACTTGAAATCTGTTAATGCTGTAAACTCTTGATGATCAAAAAGAATTTAGCAAATGTAAACAATTCATTGCTTATTCAAAAGGCACACACCAAATTCAACCACTAGCTTGTAAGTCAGTAGTTAAATAACTAGTCAGATGTTATTTAGTGCACATGCATTGTTCAGGCAAGTCTAAGCTTCTTACAATTGAAGGATTAGCATGAATTGAACTAATTCGCTCTCTGCTCGTTAAGTAATTTGACTGATGACAGAAAACAGACTGTGTATTTGTAATGAAAGTGATTAGCACATAGATTTCATTGTAAAATTATGGTGACTTTAGCAAGCATTCAAAATATGCCTATATACGTATGTGTGTAGAGCTCATTTTGTTATTTTAGCTATACAACATAATTCAAATACTTCCTACGTTGTACCATCGTTGTTACCATGGTTACATAGGATAATATCATTATGACTGCTTACATGATAATGATAATATGTGATACAATATTAAAGACTACTGCATGTGCCATTGTAAGCAAACTTTGTCTGATAATAATGTCACATATTATCATGGATAAGAAAATCCTTTCTTTTATAATCAATTTATTATTTGAGTGAACTATTCACAAACATGTTTTCATACCAGGTATATGGTGGGTGTTGTCATTTAAGTTGAAGCTTCAGTTTTGATGTTTAGCATTATATATTGATCTATTTTGTGATGATCCTTGACAACTGCTCAGAATAGAAAGCAAGCATGAGGTCACAATTCTTGGAGGCCTGAATGAGTTTATGGTGAAGTTTTATGGTCCACCAGGAAGTGAGTATAATTTCATTTTTGTTTTGTTTCTGTACCTTTACAATCGGTTTAGTCCGTAAGCAAACAATTCTTCTTTCTTGAATTTGTATTTAGATATGTAAGCTGAATATTTTAAAATGAATTTCATTGTAAATGTGTATCACCTGACAGAAACAGGAAGCAACCATGTTGTGTCATTGTGTGATATAGAAAGGTACCTGTTTGCTGGGACTAGACTAACAATACACTGTGCACTTACAATCCAACTTGACAATGGAGAAATAAGTCACTGAAATATGTAAATCCTTCTAGTTCCATCTTTGCAATATTGGCACAATTTGATTGGCTCCATGTCCTTACTGAGGAGACAGCAGCAGCCCTGGCTAGATCTCTGATACTGTCCCGCACCGACTATTGCAACAGTTTGCTTCACAAGGTCTCCCAGGTCCTCATCTCTCGGCTACAATGAATTCAGAACCCTGAGCTCGTGTTGTAACAAAGACCTGCAAGTTTGACAGTATCACTCCAGTACTTATGTCGTTTCACTGGTTGCCAGTTAGAGCAAGTTCAGTTATGCCATCGCTCCTCCCGAAGCATAGGCCGCAGACAACAGTCTGCCAGAGTCCTCGGTCCTGGGCTGCCCTCTCTAGTTGTTTCCAGGTGTGTCCCATCTTCTTGCTGTCTGCCTCGAGGTCCTGTCGCCAGGTGTTTCTTTGCCGTCCTCTTTTACGTTTTCCCTGGGGGTTCCATGACAGCGCCTGTCTGGTGATGTTACTGACTGGCTTCTTCAGGGTGTGCCCAATCCATCCCCATCTTCTGCGCGGGATCTCATCTTCGGTTGGCAGTTGGTTGGTACGCTGCCACAGGTCTGAGTTGCTGACGGTGTTGGGCCAGTGGATCTGGAGGATTCTCCTCAGGCAGCTATTGATGAAAGTCTGCACTTTCCTGGTGGTGGTCTTCGTTGTCCTCCATGTCTCGGCTCCATACAGTAGCACTGACTTGGAGTTGGAGTTGGAGTTGGAGTTGAACAGCCTGATCTTCATGCGACTGGATACCACCTTGGAGCTCCATATGTTCTTCAGCTGCAAGTATGCTGTCCTTGCCTTTCCGATTCCTGCTTGTTAGAGCAAGAGTGGACTGAAAGATTCTGTCTCTGACGTATCAATGTAGGCATGGCTCTGCTCCCTCTGTGATCCTGAGTGTTGGATTATGGACGGAAGCATCGCCTTGAAATCCACAGAAAAACGTGGCCTTCAATATTTCATCATAGCAGCTGCCATGAAGTTACGCTCTTCCAGACTGTCTTAGGACAGTGCCAACTCATTCTGCTTTCAAAGCACAACTGAAGACTTTCCTTTCGAACCTACTTATAACTAACATTCTAGACGCCCTGAGCATATTATTGATGTGGAGTTTGGCACCATATAAATGGACATTTATTTATGATGATGCCCATGTGATGACTGTGTTTTGACCGACAACGTCTCTTACTTTCAGCACCCTATGAAGGTGGCGTCTGGAAGGTCCGGGTAGATTTGCCAGAGAAGTACCCATTCAAGTCACCCTCAATAGGTACAATAATGTCTAAGTAACTAAGACTGTAATGTTATTCTCTGTCATAATAAGTATATATCAACACAGTTAGTTACAAGCCGATGCTCAATACAATGCAGGAAACTCAATAAGGGTTTTACCTTAACCTTCAAAACTAGGGGTCCAGGGAACCCCTGTTAGTTAATTCCAAGAGTCAGGACATTTTCAGGAAATATCTGTGTGTTCTTTGGGATGTACTATGTTATTTTGGCACCAATGACATTTGAGGGAACTGGATGCAGTTTTTGTGTTGTCTAAAACCTCCTCAACACTCATTATTTTTCACTAGCGATTCGAATGACTATTGACAGCTGATAGCATAGAGACACAACCAATGTATGTATAGTAATTGTAATTAAAGTTTGAGAATATTTGTACGCACATTCAGAAAATAAAGACTTCTTTCATTCCAGGTAACACATCAACCATTACGATTTTGATGTAATACTTATGATTTTGAGGCTAAGATGTTGCTATTACGCTTGTCCTCCCCCGATTTTTGTCATTTTTTCATGAAGTATTTCCATGCATCAGATATCATGGAGAGCAAATTGTTAATGCACTGGTGACATGAAACATTCAACAGCCATACTCTTCTGATCAATGAGAGCCATGCTTTCAATTGACATAGCCAGGTCTCCAATTGATAGTTATGTTTAAAGTCACTGAAGTCATTTTATCAATCAATCTTTGCGGATGCAGACAGGAAACTAATTGCATGTGCACCACTATTACTTTGGAACTCGAAAAAACACATTGTCTTTGTCAATAATGTGTCACATGATTAATTTTATGAATGTGTGGAGCTTTGACCACATGTTTGTCTTACGTCTAGGCCTTAGGAAACTCGAAAAAACGTGAGATCTTTGACTCCGTGTATAAGACGACCCCCCTTCTTAACCCCCTCATTCTAGGTACTAAAAACTCGCCTTATACACAGCGATATACAGTATTTGGAATAATGCTGAGTGCGGCACTCAACAACAACCAAACAGAACCTCCTTACATTACACAGTATCCAGAGCTTCGGTCAAGGGGTCATGATCATAACCCTAAATAAATGTTAACAATTAAGAAATGCCTTCAATGAAATACTTTTGGAGCAAACCCATAAGAACCAGGCCCACCCTTAATGTCAAACACTGCTCGTGCTATCATTGACACATCTTTGTTTATTGCAATACAAAGAGTCACATCAAGGTCGTAATTGTTATATACACATTTATGCATAATGTTATGTGCTGTGATGACAGAAATTTATTTGTCTATCTTTTGAGAGTTTACAATGTATTGATATCTCCTACACTCACAAATGTATGTTTGTCTTTGCAGGTTTCATGAATAGAATATACCACCCAAATATTGATGAAGTGTAAGTATTGTCAAGGTCCTGTGGTATTGACACTACTCTTAAAATGTGTGTGGTTGTTGAAAATACGATTTCTGTTTTGTTTTGTGACCTTTATCGAGTGTGGGTGCAGATAGTCCCCATGTACCCAATTATTGTTTGCAAAGTGTGGATTAGATGCCACAATGGCAGCTGAGTGTAGAAAGTACTTGGATGAGGGACTATCAGGGAGCCCATGGTGACCTGACTGCCTACAGTAGGCAGCTATTACACTGTTAGGTCTTCAACTCCCTCTAACTCACTATAGTGACAATTGACCATAGGAAACAACCTGAGACAGACACTAGTTATGCTAGTGCATTCATGACTTCACAGGGATTTATCCAGGATCAAAACTTCGTGACCTTGACAGGAAAGTGGGACACAAGCATTTGGTCAAAATTTAGATTTTTTAAGTTCCTATTTTGCTCATATTCAGAGGGATTTAGTATGGCATTCAATACAATGATGAAAGACTTAAGCATTAAAGCCTCAAACCCCCCTTATAGGTTCTGTTGCCAGTGAAATACAAGTCCCATCTACAATGTCATAATATGAATTATTACATGAATAGGGAATTTGTTAGATCCATTTTGTGATTGATTGAGTATGGCTTTACGCCGCTTTTAGCAATTTTCCAGCAATATCATGACGGGGGACACCAGAAATGGGCTTCACACATTGTACCCATGTCGGGAATCGAACCCGGGTCTTCGACGTGACGAGTGAACGCTTTAACCACTAGGCTACCCGACCACCCCTCCATTTTGTGAATTTGCCTGAGTTCGTTACTTGATTACAAACGACAGCAAGCCTTCACTGACATTTGCTGCAGGTTTAGACTGATTATAGGCCTGAGCAGGTCAAGATAAATCCTTGCGTTTTCTGTAATTTTGCTCAGAAACTGACTGTACCTGGATTTGTTTGCAGTCTGTGTCCAACACAGTCCTGTCTTTTGGCATCATTTTCAGTAGATTTTAGTTCAATTTTCCACAATAAGCTGTCAGTTGAACAAAACTTGACAAAAGAAACTTTATTGTGCATGTGTATTTCTATTACTATTGAGTGCTAAGCTAGTCAGACTTAAAGCTTAATAACCTTGCTTATACTGAGGCCCTTGGTCCCATGTTGGAGGGTGGCTGAAGATCGGGTGTAATGTGATTTACTTCCCCACTGTGGCTCAAGTCATGTGTAAATTAATTTTTCCTTGGTCACGATAAGAATGTTGGTGTTTTTTTATTCCACCTTTGCAGGAAGTCCTTACAGTTATTTTCACCCATTTGCTTCCCACTCCACACACAATATTACCTGAATAATGTGACATGTCTGTTCTAGATGTCATGCTCTGCATTCTGTATATCAGAGATGGTATTGACCTTTGGTGTTGCTATCCATATCTTTCCAAATTTGATTGTCCTACTGGTCAAGTGACCGCCTTCATTGTCTAGTGGAAAGAGTGTCTGCCCGGAGAGTGGAAGATCAGTGGTTCTAACCCAAGCCGCGTCATACCAAAAGATGTTAAAACATGGTACTTGTTGTTACCCTGCCTGGAGCTGGGTATTAGGAGATAAAACAAGGACTGATTGACTCGGAGTCCGTATCCGTGTCTGAGCATCTTCCCAAGGCAAGAGAGTAAACTGACTTTAAAAGTCCAGTTTCCACCCTCTGCCGAACAAGGCTGGAATAACTGGGCTCGATCGTAGCGCCACCAGTGGCTATTACCAATTATGTCCCTTCTAAGCCTCTCCTATGGACCAATCAGATTCCACCTGTCGTATCACTTGCGTTTGTTTCACACAAAATGGTGGCGCCCAGTCAGGACGATCTGGACGAAAATCAAGATCTATATTGTGAAAAAACGGGTCGATAAATCGCGAAATGCATCAAATCACGTGAGCACCTTGATTAAAAACATGAAAAGATTTGGAAAATATCTGCTGACAACAAGTTGGCGGTGCACATACTTTGCAAATCCTGCAATCGACCGAAATCTGCACGACAGTTTACAAACCAGATTTCGATTTCGGTGCGTGATTTTGATTGGACTATTCATAGACTCGTTAGTCCAGCCAAAATGTAACTCCATAATACCAGCCTAGTTCGGCAAGGGTGGAAACTGGACTTTTATATCCAGTTAACACTCTTGCCTCGGGAAGATGGTGTCTGAGTGGGGTATCCATGTTAAAACTGTCATGGTATCTCAGTGGGCTATCATTTTGAAACTGACCCAAAAGTGCATGCACAACTCACTATGAGTGAAATACTGTTTCACCTCAGTCCCGCCCTGTGGTAGTGCAGTGTTCCCACTGGCTTCTGAAACTGCCGGTCCCAGTGGACTGCCAACTCTGAAAATTACCAGTTCTCCTCTCTCTTTGAGTAACTGAGGATCAGGTGCTGATGTGGTGACAAAAGTGACCTGGCTGATTGTGTGTTGTCTTACCTCATTCCTCTAACCTCTTCAGAAGAAAAAACTTTGTAAGCTCAATCCATTCCTTCAGAATAAGCCCTGGGTACCTCATGCTTGTCATAGGAGCTAGGAGATGGGGGAAGGCTCTTTGTCTTGACTGATTTCATTGCACCCTGATCATTGTGTCAGTCACTGGTTTGCCAGATCTGGACTCAATCATGTACTTGACAAGGTGATGTTGGAATATTTCGGACCAAGACATTAAACATTCACTTGCCTACCCCCTTGTCATTTGCCAGCCGTTCTGGACACCCTGATTTGAAGGAAATACTTGCTCCATCATGTCCATTACGATGGCTAGGTTTTCCCTGAGGACACATGTGCCGAGATTACGAGGTGCTCACACTAACAGTCACGCTGCAGATGTGTCCTGAAAATGCTGTGTCTGGTTATTGGTCCCATCTCACATTATGGCAAAGGGGATTCATGCAGTGAAGTATGATGTGTCACTTCTTTCGTATGTGATCACTTGCTTTAAGCCTCAGTCCAGGTTGGATGGACTGTGATTACTGGGTGATGATCGGGCACTGTTCAACAAGTTTAGTGTTATGGTGATTTGAAGCTCCTATATGTTAAACTCACAGCAGTTGTGGTGCTAAGGTTATTTGAAACTGCCATACATTAACACTCACAGCAGTTGTGGTGCTGAGGTGATTTGAAACTCTATACATTAACAGACACACAGCAGTTGTGGTGCTAAGGTGATTTGAAACTCCCACACATTAACAGACACACAGCAGTTGTGGTACAAAGGTGATTTGAAACTGCCATACATTAACAGACTCACAGCAGTTGTGGTGCTAAGGTGATTTGAAACTCCCATACATTAACAGACACACAGCAGTTGTGGTACAAAGGTGATTTGAAACTGCCATACATTAACAGACACACAGCAGTTGTGGTGCTAAAGTGATTTGAAACTCCCACACATTAACAGACACACAGCAGTTGTGGTACAAAGGTGATTTGAAACTGCCATACATTAACAGACTCACAGCAGTTGTGGTGCTGAGGTGATTTGAAACTCTATACATTAACAGACACACAGCAGTTGTGGTGATAAGGTGATTTGAAACTCCCATACATTAACAGACACACAGCAGTTGTGGTACAAAGGTGATTTGAAACTGCCATACATTAACAGACACACAGCAGTTGTGGTACAAAGGTGATTTGAAACTGCCATACATTAACAGACTGACAGCAGTTGTAGTGCTAGTGGTACGACCCACGGCCGACCCCACTGCTATCTGTGGGATAAGCATTGCAATGTGTTGTGTGAGGAGAATATAATTTACATGAATTTGGATATTCATTATGTTAGTCTACGTATCCCAAAATAAGACTCAGGCCTGCTTGTCTGCACCCATCTGGATACATGTATATTCTGAGAAGGTCGTTTAGAGATCAAGAGATAAGGGGTGTCCTGGGGTAGAAGAGACATGTTTTGGGTTCTCTATGTTATTTGATCGAAGTGAACAATGAAATGGCAGTATGTCAGGCTATTAACATGTTGAATGCCCCACATTTATGATGAGGTTATTTGACTAGAAAATAATGATGCATTGCCATGTTTTTCAGATCTGGCACAGTGTGTTTAGATGTCATTAACCAGGCATGGACAGCGTTGTATGGTGAGTTGGAGATAATGGTGTTATTTACATAGCGTGTGATTCTCTTTACAATACACAGAACATAGCCTTGTTTTTTCATGTGTTCAATAATAGGCCATAAAGCTTTCAGCCACAGTTCTATGTTGTGAACACCGACATCCTGAACATATGTTGATTTCTTTTATGCAGTGTAATGTATGCAGGCACACAGCCAAGCTATTATCATAATTATCATACAAATGATGACTATGTAATGAGGATCACCATGGCCACAACACCATAAATATATGCATATATTGTTATGATGTTATGTGAAGAAAAAACGAGAAGACTACACCATTATTTATTTTGACAAAAGCAGTTTTTCAATCAATACCTTTTTATTCAACATGTTCAATGATTGGATTAATGCTCACATGACCCGTGAAGGTCCGGGGTAGAATAGGTCTTCAGCAACCCATGCTTGCCATAAAAAGCAACTATGCTTGTTGGGAGAGGCGACTAACAGGATCGGTTGGTCATCGTATCCCAAATGTGTGGATCGATGCTCATGATGTCGATCACTGGATTGTCTGGTCCAGACTCGATTATTCACAGACAGCTGTCATATAGCTGGAATATTGCTGAGTGGGGCATTAAACAACAAACAAACAAAAATGCTCACACAGTCAACCACTGGTCTGCTTCAACCAGGCCTGTTATCATGGCAGGTTATTTTGCAGCATGTGTTATGGCAGTATTGGTGACTCTTGTTTGAACATTTGCTTCAGACCTGTCCAACATATTTGAGTCCTTCCTGCCTCAGCTGTTGACATACCCCAACCCCATAGATCCTTTAAACGGGGATGCCGCAGCACTATATCTACACAAACCTGAGGAATACAAGAAAAAAGTTAGAGGTGAGTCAGATTTTTAGGATGCATTGGTCAAGTCTTCCTTGCTACTATAGTGTCTCATGTCACCATTCTGTAATGGTATGACCCTTGACTCATTCACTGCTAGGGGCAGTGGGGTAGCCCAGTGGTTAAGGCATTCATTATGAGAACGACTGCAGGTTCGATTCCCCTCAAGGGTACAATGTGTGAAGCCCATTCTGATGTGTCCCCTGCTGTGATAAAAAGTTGCGTAAAACCATACTCACTCACTCATTCACAGCTGCATTTTTTATTTGATTCTGGTACAAATGACACTAAGTTTGACATCCATTCAAATTACGCTGTTCCCTCATGATTAAAAGCCTAACCATCTCCTTGTTTCACTAGCATGTGGAGATACCGGGTAAGAATAAGTCCCCAGCAGCCTATGGTGGTCATAAGAGGCAACCAAATTGTTTGGGTGGTCAGACTCGGTGACTTGGTTCATTGCATGCTATCGTATCCCTGTTGCATGGATTTGTGCTCATGATGTCAATCACTGGATTGTCTGGTCCCGACTTCATTGTTTACAAGCTGCTATCATATGGCCAGAATATTGCTGACTGCAGCATAAAACAGAAAGAAACAAATGAACAAAACTATTAAGCCTGATAGTTACAGTTTTAAATCAGGGTGTGTTTTTTTTTATTGTTAAAATGTCCTGAAAGCATCTCCTGAACCAAAGTTAACTGATTCTAAATTGTATGGTGTTGTATTTACATATTAGTGATGATTTTGTAGCCACGACAACACAACAGTCTCTTTGTCCTATAACAGCAGCAGATTCATGCACAAAGATCTCCATTTTAAATTGACCAAGGTTAAGATTTCCATGTTCTAGTACAGATGGCAGTAGGCCCGATTGCCTTGGCAATTGGAAATTATGTTTCCTTAAACCACATGTTATGAGAAAACATGATTTCAAGGACAAAGTAGGAAAGATGTATCATCCTGTACACTTTACAGTTAAGGATTTAGATTACTGAAGTTGGCTATTTTAATATGTGGACATTCAAATTGTGGATGGAATATTTTTTCGTATTGAATTAACTGTCACAAAATGAAAATTTGAACATTGGAAACTTTTGCTATATTCCCCCATTGTCACTGCTGTGGGCCTTTGTTGATAGTTCATGGATAAACATCAGTGTTTGTTTTGTTGTTGAGGGAGGCAAGATTGCTTAGGTTACCATTGTTATCAGATTACACTGTAACAGTAAATGTAATGACAGTGATAACACAAAGTGTGATAGGTATGTCAGCATCTTCATAGGGTTACAACTAGGTATCAGAGAGGGCTGCTGTTGCTGATTGGCTGGTGATTGTGCATTGCCATCAGCAGTTACTTCCCCTTCCTACAGATGTGCCAGGCTTAGTTGTCTGTACTTCAGTTATTGTCTAGAGTAGGGCTGGGATGAGTCCAAATTTACTTCCAAGATACCCAACCCCCTGTTTCCCCTATCTTCCCGAAGCAAGAAAGTTAACTGACTTTAAAAGTCCAGTTTCCACACTTGCCGAACTAGGCTGGAATTACTGGGCTCGATCGTAGCGCCACCAGTGGCTATTACCACTGGTGTCCCCTCTAAGCCTCTCCTCTGAACCAATGAGATTCCACCTCTCATATCACTCGCTTCATCCAAAATGGTGGCGCCCTGTCAGGAAGATCTGATCTATAATCAAGATCTATATTGTGATAAAATGGGTCTTACATCGTGAAATGCATCAAATCTTGTGAGCACCTTGATTAAAACATGAAAAGATTTGGAAAATATCTGTTGACAAAGAGTTGGCGATGCACATGCTTTGCAAATCCTTCAATCGACCAAAATCTGTTCGACAGTTTACGTACCGGATTTTGATTTCGGTGCGTGATTTTGATTGGACTATTCATAGACTCGTTAGTCCAGCCAAAATGTAACTCCATAATACCAGCCTAGTTCGGCAAGGGTGGAAACTGGACTTTTATAGTCAGTTAACTTACTTGCCTCGGGAAGATGGTAACCCCACATCCTACCCGGATAACCACAGTAGGTCTCAAGAGTTGGGTACAAAATGTCCATTTGAGAAATGTTTGAACAGAGTTCTGACAAAAAAGTATTCAGATACTCTTTAAAACGATCTGGTCACGTATGCACTGAAGTTGACTGAAGTTTTGTCTTTATTCAAATATATAAAAGTCAGAATCTACCAGATAAAATAAAACATTGACATACCTTATAGTGAAGCAGTAAAGTGTGTCGTGGTATAAGAGGAATTTCGATCAAAGCATGCGAGAGAAAAAACATGAGCAGCTTGGACTAGCTGGAGTCACTACATGATAAATTGAACAACTTCTCATCACCTACTCAGTAGCTCAGTGGGAGAACAGTAGGTGACAAAACTTAACAGGACATGTGAGGTTGCAGGTTCGATTCATGTCATGGAATTTTCATGTAGCCAATCATCAAACACAATTGTGTTCATATCGAGAGGCAAATTTATAAAACGTTAATTGTAAAACCTCAAAGCAGGTTTAGAAGTGACCTATTTCACAACCTAGGTGGGACAGTCGGGTAGCCTGGTGGTTAAAGCCTTTGGTTGTCACGCTGAAGACCCGGGTTTAATTCCCAACATGGGTACAATGTGTGAAGCCTATTTCTGATGTGATATTGCTAGAAGTGGCGTAAAACCATACTCACTCAAAAACTAGGTTTGAAGAGAACCGCTTCAAAACCTAGGTTTGAAGAGAACCGCTTCAAAACCTAGGTTTGAAGAGAACCGCTTCAAAACCTAGGTTTGAAGAGAACCGCTTCAAAACCTGGGTTTGAAGAGAACCGCTTCAAAACCTGGGTTTGGAAGATGAGCTGGTTTCCCCGATTGTCAGGAACCTTTGCAACTTAGGGTAACATGGTGACAGGTTTATAAGTAGGATTCCTCTGACATGCCATCGCATTATAGTTATCATTGGTTATCACTATTAAGTGTTTTACAACATAATGTGGGAAATGTTTAATTCCAATTTTGGAACTTGTACTCACTTTTTCTGTGGACTTGTGGCCAGATATCAGCTTCTCAGCAGGTCTAGATATTTCCCAGTGTGTGTTTAGTGTATATCTGTCTTATCTTTGCATTGATCATCATAGCAATGACATGATTAAACACTGCTCACCATTCCCACAGAATTTATTTCATTTTAAATCATGTAAATGGCAGCATTTTCATGTTGAAAATTGCATTATTTTACCATCTATTTAACCATTTATTTATATATCATCATGATCGATGTGTAACTGTATTTTTTCTAGAAAAATGGGGCTGAAATTTTGTGTATATGAACCAAACACAGATGACTTCAAATTGATATTGTTTGTATTGCTTTGCCCATGTGCCCATTACTTCATTCTTTTTTTTTTCAGAATATGTTCAGAAATATGCTACAGAAGAGGCATTAAGAGAGCAAGAACATGCATCCTCATCTAGTGAAAGTTCCATGAGTGATTTCTCTGAAGACGAAGCTCAGGATATGGAGCTTTAACATCTCATTTAATTTAATCTGTACATAATTCATTTGTAAATACTCTAGATCCAACATTCTTGCAGTCATGCAGAAGGCACCGGGATATGTTATAATAAGACAAATAGTTGCCTGTGTTCGACTCCAGTATCGGGGAAATGCGTACTTTGTTGCCAACCATTACAAGAATTTGAAATATTTTATTATAGGAGCAGAAATTCCACATAAAGTATAAACTGTAATCTTTTTGTTTGCGCTCATTCCAATAGGGGAATTCAAATAAAACATAAATGTACATAGTCTCAAGCTGTTGGCCACATCTGAACAATATGAAAAATTCTTATTTGAAATTATTTTTATGAAATACGAAAATGAGAGGTTTTGATTACAGAAACTGTTTGGTAATAGATTGTTTGGTCTGAAGTACTATATTAGTATTTTGTTGGATGAAAATTTGTTTCCAAAATGGTTGTGCTTGTTTGCAAAGATATCAGCTGCAACAGTTGTGACAAAGTACGAGGTCCGATCTCCTGGTAGTGTGTTGATTGTGGCGTGCCGTCATCATCAGATGTCGTCTTCATCATCATATTTTGCATCGCCATCATCTCATATTGGCTAGCACCAGCACCACTGTCTGTACAGGATGGTAGTTTTAGTCACATTACTTAAGGAAAGCCCGCAGTTTGTTCATGTACAGTGTTTTCGTCGCTCATCAGCTGGTTGACAGAGGCTGATTCAATGGATTCATTATTTATCACAGGAATTTTATCTTCGTTGTTTCTTTATCGATTTCAGTTGTTTTTAACGGGGAAAGTCATCATCAGTGATATGATGTAAACGTGTAGTGTTTGTGCACCAGGCTTCCCTGTCCTCTGTACCTTCTTCTCATCGGAAACAAATTCTTGTTTCACATCAGGAAACAAATTCCGATTTCACATCGGAAACAAATTCCTGTTTCACATCAGGAAACAAATTCCTATTTCACATAGAGAACAAATTCCTATATCAACATTCTTTTAAATCTAGTCATCACTGTGGTGTATTTCACAAACTCAGGTTAAAGACGATGTTGGAATAATTGACTTAGGTAGTGGGCTTTTGCGAAGTGAAAATGGACCAGAAATTTAATTTCACAAAATGTTAATATATTTTGGCACCAAACATTGGATGTACTCAGTTGAAAATAAGTTAGACATCGGAAGTTTAGGAAATTTAGTTTGCCATATTGGAATAGTTTTCAGTCACCCAACTGATGCTGTGATCATGCCTGCCCTATTTCTTTGTGTGCGTAGTGATACTTGTTGGAGATGTTGACCATATTTGGTCATGGGATTGTTACCATGGATACCGGGAGTGGAAACAAGATTGTCTTCATAAACAGTCAAGATTGTGGCACCATCAACAGTGAATCAGAATTAAACGTACAAGATTAATATTGAAGCGTGTTGTTTTTTGTTAAATATATTTTGAGATTTCATCAAGCGTTTGAACATATTTTGTTGGTTTATGATTTACATATCATATTGACATTATTGTTAATATTACATGTGGAATGGAATTATCGAAGTGAATTGCTTGTACATGACTGCCACAATGTTGACTGTTTGTGATGAGTGGGTGTGGAGGTGCAGAGATTGTTTGTTATGTAGTTTGTGATCCCAGACTCATTGACTCCAGGGTGAAAGAACAAGGACATTATCATTAAAATATTTTGAGACATTAGTGTGATAATTTCCAGACGAACCTAACCTGTTAAACTTTAGTTCATGAGCTGAGGGAATTCATCATTGAAACTAATGTGATGTTCCTTCCCCCCAACCCAGTTGAACAGGTGGCCCAGTCGTCTAAGGCGCCTCAATACGCTGTGCAGAGTTGTGTCCCTTGGGCGGTGTTGAATGAACCGACTCACTCACTCACATCCCCTTAACCTCCCTTATAATGTGACCTCCCCCCTATTTCTTGGCCATGTTATTGTTTTAACATGTCTTATTGTCCTTGAAAAACCTGTATTTCCTGAGTAAAATGAATGACAAGTTATGGCAGATGACTCATCACAAGTTATGGCAGATGGATGAAATTAAAATTTTGGAACAATCATTTTATTGGATAAGAAATGTGATCTCCATGGCAATCTGTCCAAAGTGAGGCTTTGTTTGAGCTTTTCCCACACAGTGCATTGTCCTCATCACTGGAGTATGTGAGTCTGGTTTGTGATGATAAAACCCTTATCTGTATCTTAATGAACTTGCTGTAATTAATATGTACAATATTGATATCTTTAGTCTTAGTTCCATGATTGATGTATTTGAATCTGATTTCTGATCCTGATGTGTAAACTGTATATTTTAACCTTAGTGGTAGAGAGTTTGAGAACTACACAATGAAGCATAAGACTATGTACCCATATGCAAATGCTCATCTATTTACTTTTATATCGAGAGACGTAGACGACACAGTTAGATAGGCTACTCTGGGAGTGTGTGATTCTTGTCTTGTCGACAATATTGTCCAGGCAATGGGGTTGTGAGCACTCCCAGAGATACGACATTTTTCAGCAACAATTAAACATAATATGTTTCGGAGAAGAATTCCATATTGTTATAGAGATTTTATAGTTGGTTTTGCAAGCACTGCCACTTGCCAAATTTAAAAAAATAAATCATATTGCTATCAAGATTTTGTGATATGTTCCATTTATTTTTGACAAGTTTGGCATTGTGTGGTTGGTTATTAATAGCCAGTGTTTTGGATAATAGCATTTTTCAAGAGGTCATGTGCAGTGGGGTGATCATGTGACTTGGTGTTCTGTAATGTGCAGTCATGTGACAGTTGGTATTTGTTACTAACGTAAACCCATTCTCCCGCCCCTTGTGATGAAATGGTCAGAATAGTTGTGAGGTGAATAGTATGTGGAATTCCTTAGGGAAACAGTTTTCCTAGATAACATTGATGTGTCAGTACTACATGACGTTTCCCTGTAGTTCAGTACATATATATCCCAGTTATCCCCAGTGGAAATGTTTTTGCCATCTTTTTCATTGTTTAACATTGTGAAAAGCAGACAGTTGTTTGAAGAAAGGATATGGCCCTCTCAAAAAATGTTTTCTGGTTATTATATTTGATAAAAATATATGCATGGATGCATCTTATTTCCAAGTGTGGTATCAGGTACAAATTCAGATTTCAAAATACAAAAATAGATGTTGGTAAGCCTCTGACCTTTGTTTCCATGGTTACCATGGCTACCACACTTATGTGAGGTAGAATATTTTTGATGAGGTGGAAAGTCTTGCGACAATGTTTTTGTGGGATATGGGATTGTGTAAAGGACATTTATGAAAGTGGTAAAACCAGTTAAATACTTGGTTGATGAAACTGATTTGGAAACCTAATATATACTAATAAAGGCCATTGCTGAAGTTCATTACAGTATAAGATCTTGATTCGTATGAATGGGCATTAGCTTTGGAAATACCTCATTAAGTGGCCAAAGCGGATATATTCCTCCTATACTTATCAGGTGTGGCATTTCTTTTGTTATTAATCCCTCGGGCACACCAGAAACATATGATTTTAGGTTCGAATCCTGTTTCGCCCTGTTTGTTTCAAGGTTTGTCAGCACCATACCCGTGCTTGTGGGTTTCACCAAAGTGGTAAATGTCTGAGACCTGCATCACTTCGGGCTTTCCTCCCACATTAAGCTGACAAGCCGGGATATAACTGTAATACTGTTAAAAGCAGCCAACTCACTCACTCACTCACTCTTTTGTTGTTAACCTATGGTATATTGAGAGTATAATGGGGGTAGTATATCACGTTGTACCATAATTAAATCATACTTTGTATGTTAGGTGAAGGGAAATTTTATATTTTCAAAAATACAGGTAATATATCTCTTGGATCCTTTACAAGATAGTTTATTTGATCAAAGAATTATATTGTCACTCATATTTTGGTACATTTTAATACCTCTGTTTCCATGGTTACTGCTTAGGGATGGGAAGTCATATGTATGCATCGACATAATTATACGTGTATAATCTCCTATGTAATTAAGGACGTGTACAATCATTGCACAAGTGATGGACTAGTCACCTCGATCTTATCGTCCACATTGCCAAGTACAGATTTACTATCTAGCCATACCAGGACACATCATAGTTTTCATTGTGATTTCTAACTTTTTGCCCTTAAGGTAAGCATGATTTTGTTAAAAAAATATTTGTTAATTTTGGTTCTGTTGAAGATTTCATTCAGATTTGATTATGTTTACTTTCTCTTATGTTATACAAAGGAACTGATCAGCCAGAGAACTCCCATGGTGCCTCTCGAATCGTTCAGTTGAGTCTTGTTATGAAATAGTGATGATTTTTTATATATTTAGAAATAAGGCCAGGACAATTTAATTGCTAGTTTTACAGGTTTTTATGCCAAAAATACCTGGCACAAGAAAGAAGATATTTCTTTTGATAAAAAAAAGCCTCTGGAATTGAGTTGTCATGTTATGAAATAGTGATGCTTTTTGTTATGTTTAGAAATAATGCCAAGACAATTTTATTGCTAGTTTTACAGATTTTTGTGCCCAAAAAAACCAGGCACAAGAAAAAAGTTAATATTTTTTGGAAAAAGAAAATTCACTGACGAAAGTTATTACTGCATTGTGCCTATTACCATATTTTGTTAAACTTACTACTCCAAATACCTGATTTTTTCATGTGACTACAGTTATGCCGTGACAGATTGACTAAAGTTTTTGTGGAACATGCTAGCCTTCTGCTTTAGGTTAAGTCTGTGTTCGAATCCCAGTTCACCAGGGTTATGATACTAGGTTTGTCAGCACCATACCCGTGCTCGTGGGTTTTGCTGATGTTGTAAGACCTGCATCACTTAGGGCAATATCCCACATTAAGCTGACACGCCGTGATATAACTGGAATACTGTTCAAAACGGTGTTAAGCCCAACTCACTCACTCACTAAGGTGAAGTCTTTGCTGGAGCAAGCGGGAGAGGCCTAAATAGGCCTTGTCTACTATGGAGATAAATGTTTGTGTAAAAGAGAAAGTATCATTGACATTATTGCCTCTGTGAGTAATTGGGTGAAAATGTGTGTAAATCATTAGAGTAAATCAGTGTTAGGTTTGGTTGAAACTTTATTATGATTGGTAAAAATCTTGATTGGAATCATGTAGAAGCCATTGAGAGACCAGTGATACCATCTGTTGATGGTAGATGGGACGGAGAGCTGTTCCTATCTGAATGTGTCATTTTTCCAACTACCATTGACATGTTTCATGTTTGATACTCTGTTCTAAAGAGTAAATAAACCTTTTCTGTTGCATGACCATTAATGTTGTGTTTCCATGGTTACCAGTATACAGATTCTTAACAGAACCTCTTTTTATTTCATTTCATTTCATCTTTTCAAGCTTTTTGCCAAAAAGGTTTTTGATCGGCCACACACCTTCATGATTATGGCCTACTTTGTAAAAATGTCAGCTTTTCACGGAATTATGAAGCACTTCTGTTCAAAATCAAGACGTGAAGCCTGTTTCAATTATCCTCATCTTGATATTGATGATTATAGCTAAAGAAACATAAAATCATACTCACTCAAATTTAGATGAGGTTTGATAAATATGATAAGACTGATTCTAAATTTGGAACTTCATATTGAAATGAAAAAAACATTTTGGGAAACATATGCAAATGTTGAACCCATTCTCTACCAGTCAGATTATAATTTTAAGGACAATATATGCTGACTTGTTGCCATTCTGTTGATTTTAAAGATTTTATGCAAATTTTCAGTTCTCATTTCAATGTCACTCATAGCCCTGAGGGCTGTGTTGAAGTCCATAGAAGTATGTTTGAAGTAAGAGATAGAAGTGGCGATTTTCATCAGAAATATTATGGATATAGTTCACTGGATATGTGATAATGTTATGTTTTGAAATTCAAAGTTTTTGTCCAATGTTCTTGTAATCCTGATATGATATGCCATATGTAGTTTAAAAAAAGAAATTTTACTGAAATCTGTAAGATGGTCCACAGATGATCTTTAGAAATATTGATGAAGACAGGACTGACATTGATAAAGATGGGATTGACATGTATTTTAACTTCTTGTATTCTTTCAGTGCAACAATACAGGTTATCATCCCGCTTGATATGACAGTGAAGATAGATATAATCTCCTATACCAATACATATCTACATGCTTGGTACTCACTCCTGTACGAAATGGGAGCTGTGGGGTAGTCCAGTGGTTAACGCATATTCTCGACACAGCAAAGGTCTGGGTTCGATTCCCCACCTAGGTACAATGTGTGAAGCCCATTTCTGGTGTCTCCCCATGATATTGCTAGAATATTGCTAAACGTGTGTAAAACAACTCGTGGTACGAAATGTTGCTTTGAAGGAATAAAAGAGGTTTAAATCTGTAAGTCAATCCTGATTCACATAAACAATATTGATTAAAATAAGTTGAATGTAAATCAGGTGTTTTATCCCAATATTGAAAACATTCAAAATTCATGTTAGCATTTCTCAAGCTAAGCCAGCCTATTTTCATTTGTCAGTTCTGTTAAAATCTTATTTTGTGTCATGGTTGATCTCGTAGCAGAAAATTTAGTAGGTTGTTACTGCCTGTATTCCAGGAAATATCTGATTTTATACCCTGTTAGGTATTACATCACATTAACACATGGTGAGGAACATCCATTGCCACGGCTTGATGGTCCACGGGCAAGTTTAAACAGCGTAAGCCCTGATACTTTCACAAACATTAAAGTCAATGTTACATGGTCAATTATTTTATGGTATTTAAATCCATAAGATCTTTGGATGGCATTAACATTTTTGAGTGGTTCTGCCCATGGGAACGCAGCTCTTTCGTTACCAGGTTTCAAAGCACTTGTTTGAATCTTCATAGTCATGTCACGAATGGTATGGAGATAGCAATTGCTCAAAATACAGTTTGATCACATGGCCAGACAGTAATGAAACCTATTCTACCCTTGAAATGGTAACTGGTTTTGAATATCAATCAAAATTATCACTTGAGTTTTGCCATTGCCATGTATAAGTACATGATATTTGAACCAAGTACAGCTGGCAGTGGCCTGTGTGAGTGTGTGTGTTAGTGAGGGGAGCAGGCAGTAGTGACTGTGTACAGCATGTGTACAACAGGTAGCAGCTTTCCATCATCTAAGAGATGGCCAGCTGATGTGCATTTATTATATTTACGCATTATAAAGATGTGTTTTGTAAATAAATTTGCAACTTTCATTTTGTGTTGTTATTTTTTTTATGACATCGCCAAGTGTAACATGGGACTGGAACTCTGGTGGACAGTCCACGCCACTATATCTGGGCCTTGTGTGACAGTCCACCCCACTATATCTGGACTGTGTGGGACAGTCAACCCCACTGTACCAGGTCTGTGTGGGACATAGAGAATCTCACCTGAGTGTCTTTTGATATCAAATATATTAACACGAGTTGATAAAAGTGGAAAAATTCCGAGGCTTGCCGAGGATTTTTGCAACTTTTATCAACGAGTGTTGCAATATTTGATGTCAAAAGACACGAGGGTGAGATTTTATTTATCATCCAACATCATTCTTCCAAATTTTTCAATTTGTAGACAGTAATTAGCAGTGTCTTCAGTGTAAAAAGTACACCTTCAGTAGCAGAGCCATTAGTGATGTCATTTGATTGTGACATCATGGTAACCAGTGATGTCACAATGGTCTGCAAAGCATTGTGATGTAATTTCATTGCAGCGATATCTACAGTGTAGATATCGCTTGATCTTATCCAAGCAATATCTCCTGTGGGAGCCAGTTTTGGATGATAAAGTCCACCCCACTATACCTGGGTTGTGTGGGACAGTCCACCCCACCATACCTGAGTTGTGTTGGACAGTCCACCCCATTATACCTGGGCTGTGTGGGACAGTCCACCCCACCATACCTGAGTTGTGTGGGACAGTCCACCCCACTACACCTGGGTTGTGTAGGACAGTCCACCCCACTATACCTGGGCTGTGTGGGACAGTCAACCCAACTTTACCTGGGCTGTGTGGGACAGTCCACCCCACTATACCTGGGCTGTGTGGGACAGTTTACCCCACTATACCAGGGCTATATGGGACAGTCCACCCCACTATACCAGGGCTGTGTGGGACAGTCCACCCCACTATACCAGGGCTGTGTGGGACAGCCCACCCCACTATACCAGGGTTGTGTGGGACAGTCCACCCCACTATACCAGGGCTGTGTGGGACAGTCCACCCCACTATATCAGGGCTGTGTGGGACAGTCCACCCCACTATACCTGGGCTTTGTGGGACAGTCCACCCCACTATACCAGGGCTGTGTTGGACAGTCCAGTCCACCCCACTATACCAGGGCTGTGTGGGACAGTCCACCCCACTATACCAGGGCTGTGTGGGACAGTCCATCCCACTATACCACTGTACGACATACCTTGGCCTTTCCTGGGGCCTTGAACCTTGGCCTTATACAGGATATAGGCCTGATCATGAAAGAATTCAGAACAAGAAACATTTATATTTTTACAACATCATTTAATGTTCGTATACCGCATAGTTGTAAATGTGAGAAAAAAAATTGAAGATATAAATTGCACCAATCAAATGTTAAAAGATTCACCTAGCTGGTCTCCTAGTAATGAACATGGCACATTAAATATAGAATACTAAACGAGCTCCCGTGTAATACCAATTTTATGAAACGAGTGAATAGTTGTGGTATCTGACGAGCGAAAGCGAGTCAGATACCACAACTATTCACGAGTTTCATAAAATTGGTTTTACACGAGAGCGAGTTTAGTATTTTATTTATAACTTGTCATTTATAATGTTTTTAGAATTATACTGTTGAGTGTAAATAGGCTGACACCTACACGATCCATGGCATAATCCAATTGAGTTTAACAGAATAATACTTCAAACACGTCAAAAGTTGAAACGTATGAATTTAATATCATACAATGGTCCACCTTTAGAATTCAGGCGCTCGTCCCACAAAATTATCGTAGTGCTAAGGCTATCACAACTCACATAATTTAACTTAGACTAAAGACTCTCGTTGCGCTAGAGTACGATCGCCTTGTGGAACGGGGCCTTGCAGCTCAAAGTTTACAATGACGTCACAATACCCGATGACGTAATTTGTTGAATTTTATTGCAAGATCCATCGGCGAAACAATGCCATGTGACGTCAGCCTAGCAACAAGGTTGCTGGGGTCATCGAGTGTGCATAAGCTCCTCCCAGTGATCTATTATCTCCACACACAATGTCGTTGAATACGCCAAGGGATGTTGAGAGCTTTCAATATTTGTTCGTGAAACGTGTTCCGAGAGTACATAAGCACGCGTTTTGGTATTACACAATGTGTAATAAAGCTGAATGTTTATTAAACGGGTGATCTCTTCACGGGCAAGTAATAATAAACAATAACACAAAGATGGAGAGAAAACTAACCATGGTCAACAAGGTACAGACCACAATGAGCTGTGTATCTGCATAACATATGCAAATATATTCACTGTTTTAATTAGTTTAATTTAATGAAGTTGATGAAGTTTTATAAAGTCAAATATTTCATATCTTGTCTAAATTACAAATATCCCTCAAGTTGATACTGCCAGGGAGGCACTAAGGCAGTACCATGTGACCATGGCAGGTTTTTGCAGTGTTCAGTGTTATACCAAGCATACACCTGGGTCTAATAGCTTGAATAGAGGTCCTAACATGTGTACAATTGTACAGAAAATGTTCCTGCAAAGTTTTAACGAACTGACTGAATTAACAAACTTATTTTTTAGCCCCGACTATTTGTTGTATATATGCGGTATGTGCTTATAACGAACTACGGCTATTACGAACTAAAATTAGTGGTCCCCTCTAGTTCGTTATAACGGTAGTTTACTGTACTGCTCTGAGATGTCACTTGAGCTCCTCTGCTATTGCAGCCATCTTAATGACGGGTCTCCAAGAATGGACTTCATAGTGTGCCCAGATTCACATCAGATGGGATGAAGAAAAAACACAATGTTGAAGAATGAATAATAACATTTACGTTTGCTAATGAAAAATACTTTTACCAAAAAGAGAGCTTTCTCTATATTATACCGGTATTTCATAAGCAGTACAACTGTGATAATAGTCTAAAGTGTAAACAGCTATTGCACTGTTGTCAGACATTATGTCTCAGATAGTTCATGCATATCATTATGATAATGATTATTGTAGATTTTTTTTAAAACAATCTGAAGTATGTACACAACAACAAAAAATACAACAGAATCTTGACTCATCAGCGTAAACAGTTGAAGCAAAAATACTTTGAACACATTATTGAAACAAAAAACAATGTTGACATATTTACAAAATCAGAGCCAATACATTGGCTCTCACTGTCTCAAACACGGGGAAAACATGTTTATCCCACACCCAAAATCCCAGCAACAGATCCCCTGGATATAACATCACACAAGGTTAATCAAAGATTTTGTTGTTTGTTAGTTGCATAACACTGCACTCAGAAATAGTCCAGTTATATAATGGTGGCCTATTAATAATCAAGTCGGAACCAGACAAATCCAGACTGTGCCCAAAACTTGAAGTCCGAAGATCTGGGTCAGACTTGATCTTCAGCAACCCATGCTTGTCGTAAGAGGTGACTAAGGGGATCGGTTGGTCAGGCTTGTTGATGCATGTCATTGTATCCCAGTTGCGTAGATCGATGCTCATGTCAAACTCTGGATTGTTTGGTCCAGACTGCCGTCAAATATTGCCAAGTTTGGGGAGAACAAACAAAACAGACCAGAAAGGGTTTCTGCAATCTGTAGTTATGATATTTGAATGACTGACTCAAAAGAGAGGGCACTTCATCAACAAGGGATGTACCGACTTGGCTCCAGGTGCTGATGTTACTCATCAACTTACAAGGATTGTATGTGATACAGATGATGCTCCTGAGGAATCCACCATACTGTACCTGTTGTACCTCTCAATCATTCTGTTACAGAAAATCATGAACTATCAGATTCTGACGTGTATCTCAATGTGTATGTCAACATGCATCTTCCAGTTAAGTGACCTTGTCGAACTAGGCTGGAATTATGGAGTTATATTTGGCTGGACTAACGAGTCAATGCATTGTGCAATCAAAATTCTGAAGGGTGAAACTTGAGTCAGTTAACTCCCTTGCCTCTGGAAGCTGGTTAACATGCAATACTGAAACCCTCCCTGTATCATCCTCAATAATCCAGTGTATTAAATCTCCAGGATAAATACCCTGGGCCCATCACTGCCATGGGTCCTCGCCTGTTTCAGCAACCAGGAAAACATCTTTTCCAGACAATAGTTTGTTTTACTTGATTAAATCTCAAGGGATTCCTCTGAGAGTTTGCATGTAGAACTAACCAAACAGGTGTTTAGTAGAAGCTATTTGATTGGTCGGTTAAATCAAGCTCATGATTGAGAGAAGTCCAGGGTCCCGTTCCACAAAGCGATCGTAGCTCCAAGACGATCGTAACTGCCATACTTTAACATTGACTTACGGCAGTCTTAGCGCTAAGATCTCTTTGTGGAACAGGGCCCTGGCCCAAGTTAGTGAGGGATTAAGATGGTGACATCTCTTCCTAAATGAAGCTTTGGTGATGAGTAGGTCCAGGGTATTTGCCACAAAAGAATTAAGATTAAATACACTGGATAATTCAGACAGTCCAGACAACTGTACACAAATGATGGATGTTAAAGTTCAAGATGCCTGTTTCGTCTCTGGTGTAGCCCAGTCTTTGAACAGCCTGCGAATTGAGCGTAGCCCGACCACCATAGGACTCTGAAACGAACAAGAAGCATGTCTCATGTGCTATCAAACTGTCTCACGTACAACAAACTGTCTCATGTACATTCTAATCCTTCTCTCAAATTGTGTCAGCTAAAGCTAAAACTATATGCTCTTTGTTTAGACTAACACTTAGCTTCTGAAAGTATAAATATTTGACAGAAACAAGCAGCTACATTTAAATTGAAAAGGAGCCCCAGAGAGATGGAGATCCTGAACCCGTGGAAAATCTAGACTTGCTTCATTTAGGGCTATAGCATTACAGTAAGGGCCGGATGGAAGGGAAAATAATATGGTTCTGGGACTGTGAGACAGACTACTCTTTGCTATGCATATTGGTACTTGGTTCACAAGGCACAACATAGGCAATAATACATCACTGGGATACAACTAAAAATAACAAGTTGTTTATTACCAAACTTAATTCTTGTCAAATGTTCATGTAATGATATACCAAAATAAGATATCTGAGTGAAACATCGCAAAGAACAATGAAGAACAAAGCAGTGTTTATTTCAAATAAAACATTGTTCTATCATGAACTCATTGTTTGAGATTCAAAAATGCGCTCGCAACTTTATGACATAGTAAAGAGGACGACATTATTTTTGAGATGAAAGTATCTAGTGAGTTGTTCACCGTAGATGTACCTGGGCAACACAGATGAATGCTATGGCCAAATGATCACATTCAAAGGTGGGTGTAATATGACAATCGGTATTGGGAGAAAAGGTACAGATAATCATTACGAAATATGTGAGGAAATGTGGAAAATACCAAATGTAACAACCCTGTTCAAAAAATGGACTACCCCGACATTGTTGTGGTCAGGCAGTGTTCAGGGAGTCAACATTATTAAAAAACAGGTTAATATTTTTATAGCTTGTACATTTTAAGAACATCCTTATAAAAGAGGCTTTACAAAATGTTCATATCTCATATAAGAAATAAATTGAATAATTGAAAAGACTAAATAATAAACTATTCTTTTCATTTGTTAACTTGAGAAAGACAATCAATACCAGCTTGTAAACAATCTAAAATATCTGTATGGCTGCGGAAACTGTATCTAGGTTCATCTGTGTAGTGACAAGTCAGCTTCAGAATCATGTATAGGGACAGCAGAGATACGGTTACCATGGCGACATCTGAAAATCTCTTCAGCTGAATCCCAGTAAATCAGTGAGTTCTGTTTTTTTCAGGCTTTTTGCCACACACAGCAATATTTCAACCATATGACGGCAACCTGTAAATAATCCAGTCTGGACCAGATAATCCAGTCACTGATATTATGATGAGTAATGATCCACGCCAAAGGGGTCAGTGACACACATCCACCAAGTCATCGAGTCTGAGCACCCAATCCATTAAGTTGCCTTGTGAGACATGGATAGGTTCATGGAGACCAATTCTAACTCAGAATCCCCTCTGGGTTTCAAAGAGCCAAGTATGGAATCTCACCTTTCTGATTGTTTTGGACAAGCTTTCTCTATCATTGGACAGGAGGCAAGGAGCAATGATGTTGAGATTCTGAACCCATCCTGGGATTTTCATACCCTCCTTCCTCTGCGGGGGGCCTGGGGATACACAGCTATCATCACTTGTGTCAGAACACTGAGAAGAGTTGAGCCCCGGACTATGTGTATTCTGTGACTTTGGCCCGGGACTCTGCTTAGTGTTAGGCTGTGAGTTGTTTCGAAACAGACTTGGGCTCGTCTGTGAAGTGGTGTTGCCTGCTAAGGATTGAGAATTGTCGTCCTGTTCATGCAAGGTGATCCACGGGCAGAATGTGCGATGTTCATCAGAGGGATCAAAACTGTCTTTCTTTTCCTGTAGACCAAAGAAGACATGTTGTTATATTTGGGATAACACTTTCATATTAAAGTACAAATTCTAGAACTTTTTTGGATTGTGTTATGCCACATATATCATTTGTTACATTTGACCACTTTGTGCATTGTCTATTCATAATAAGCTTTTATTCAAGTCAGCCTTCAACACAATGATAACATCAAAGTTCAGAACCATTGTGATAACAATAATCATGAAAACATTGGATCTACCAGTGATAAAGAACTTAAAGATCAATGATTCAGGCAAATTACTTTAGTTTACTGATTTTATCATCCTCATATTATAAAAATGACAATGCATTGAAAGAACCATCTTCCTGATGCAAGGGAGTTAACTGACTTTAAAGTTTCCACCCTTGCCGAACCAGAATGAAATTTCAAGGCCCGATTGTAGCGCCACCAGTTACGAGTTCTTTGTCCCTCCTATTGACCAATCAGATTCTATCACTTCTATCACTTATATTTGCTTCAAACAAGATGGTGGTGCCCAGTCAAGACGATCTGATTGATAATCAAAATCTACTTTGTAATAAAACACGTCTTACTTTGCAAAGTGCATCAAATCAAGTGAGCACCTTGATTAAAAACATGAAAAGATTTGGAAAATATTTGTTGATGCCGAGTTGGTGGTACACATGTTTTGCAAATCCTGCAACTGACCGATATCTGCATGGCAGTTTTCGAAGAGGATGTCAATGTTTTGGTTGAACTATGCATTAACTCATTAGTCCAGTCAAAATATAACTCAATTTTCCAGCCTAGTTTGGTAAGGGTGGAAACTGGACTTTCATAGTCAGTTAACTCCCTTGCTAAGGAAAGATGTGAAAGAACAGAAAGGTAACTTTGTGAAGTTCTTATCAAGTATGCAAATTCTCTATGTACCAGTACATCTTTTACAATGAAAAATGTTTGTGTTTAGGAAAAGGTACTTTGTGCAATCCTTTTTCTAATCAAAGAGTATCACTATCAGGGGAAAAACGTTTTCACAATGTACTACTTTGATTTACAAACCAATTTCTGTTTCTTCAGGGGAGGATCGGAGTCTCCATTTTGGTCAGTGCCATTGTTGATCTTCACCTTGAAATTCCACAGCCCTGCATGCCTTTGACAATACTCACACACCAGGGTATCGTTATTACTGAAATGACATATAATTTGATCAAATTTTAGTAAAATCTAAATATTTTTTACTTTTATAATACTTTTGTACTTATCCTGCATTACCACTCTTATTTTCCTGACCTAGGAGACGGAGCTGTGATAGTTCCTGGCTACAGAAAACGTTGTACTTACCAAATTGTGCGGCTTGCACCCTAACAGCTACCCCACGTGACCGGAAGTGATGTGAAGAAGATATGTCTGTGAATTTGCTCCCCAGGTCAAGAACCAGACAGCATCCTCTGCTTATCTTTTTGACATATCCTTGGATAACCAATATGTTCTCTATCATGTAGAGTTTATTCTGGTGTACTAGGCTGGTCCAGTTAGGCATACGATAGCATGTTTAGACTACCCACGGACGTACATATATTGTATATACGTCTTTGGACTACCTTAGGTTTTCCCACACTTTTTACAAAAAATTGCAGCAAATTAATAACGGTTCTTGCCAATGAAATTAAAACTTTGTGAATATTAGTTTTCTAAATGTGGAACAACTTCATTTTTCTGAGTGGCGGTCGGGTAGCCTAGTGGTTAAAGCGTTCGCTCGTCACGCCGAAAACAACTTCATTATTCTGAATAGAGATGGCTGCAGGTAGGCCCACATTTAGATACTGAATAGGTGTAGTATGTTGAGTGTGTTATGCACATCCTCTTAAGTTGTTTAGTGCTGATAATCAACTACTAAAATGTTGGCCCAGTTTATCCCCCTGTCATATATTGTGATGTAAACAACTGGGCCCAGTTTCCCCCCTGTCATACATTGTGATGTAAACAACTGGGCCCAGTTTTCCCCCTGTCATACATTGTGATGTAAGCAACTGGGCCCATTTTTTCCCCCAGTCATACATTGTGATGTAAACAACTGGGCCCAGTTTTTCCCCCTGTCATACATTGTGATGTAAACAACTGGGCCCAGTTTCCCCCCCTGTCATACATTGTGATGTAAACAACTGGGCCCAGTTTCCCCCCCTGTTATACATTGTGATGTAAACAAATGGGCCCAGTTTCCCCCGTCATACATTGTGATGAAAATACAACGCGGCCCAGTTTTCCCCCCTGTCATATATTGTGATGTAAACAACTGGGCCCAGTTTTCCCCCTGTCATATATTGTGATGTAAGCAACTGGGCCCAGTTTTCCCCCCTGTCATACATTGTGATGTAAACAACTGGGCCCAGTTTTTCCCCCTGTCATACATTGTGATGTAAACAACTGGGCTCAGTTTCCCCCCCTGTCATATATTGTGATGTAAACAACTGGGCCCAGTTTCCCCCCTGTCATACATTGTGATGTAAACAACACGGCCCAGTTTCCCCCCCTGTCATATATTGTGATGTAAGCAACTGGGCCCAGTTTTCCCCCTGTCATACATTGTGATGTAAACAACTGGGCCCAGTTTTCCCCCTGTCATATATTGTGATGTAAACAACTGGGCCAACATTTGGAAACTACAAAGCTTCATTAGCATGATTAGAGCTGATAATTCATTTCTAAATGAAGGCCAACCTATTTCCGTCATACTGATTGCAGCAGGAGGGACCACATTTATTAATCCTGAAGCTTCATCAGGTTGGCTAACTGATAACCATTGTCTAAACTAGGGCCCACTTTCTTCCGCCACATATAGTTTACGAAAAGGTGGGCCCACATTTGTAAAACATGAAGCTTCATTCGATTGGTTTAGTGGGCCCACATTTGTTGTCTTATTGCATGGATATAGAACTACAGATATTATTCTTGTTTTGCTATATTCATGCAAAATGTCTGCAAATTATTAAGTGTCATGACCTCCACAATAGAATGAAGTTTGAACAGGGTCACCAGCTGATCACTCATTCGATAACACAATTTTCCGAAAATAGTTACAAAGCAAGAAACTTACTTCAAATTAAACTTCAAGAGACATTACCAACACAACACAACAATCTATTCATAATAGTCGTTCGCCATATGAACAGGAAATTTATGTATAAATTTGGATGGAACTCGGACATGAGACAAGTCCATGCTTGATGACCTAAAACGTTTATAAAAGACAACCACTCATGAACATTTATGAGCCAAAGATTAAGTTTTGTGATGTTTTGAGTTCTGCTGTAGTTTCTACACATTTCTACCTTCAAATCCAATTAAAAGTCAAGAAAATTACTTTATGTTAACAAAATAGTAGATCATAAGACACGTTTTTGGACGTAGTTCATATTTTTCATAAAGAAGAAATGCCTTCAGTTCGAATGTGGGGCCACCTTGCACTTTCAATTAGGGAAGCAGAGTTAGCTCCCTTCTCGATCTATCAATATTGACGTTTCACCGATAATTTTATTGAAATCAAGGATGTATAATATCTAGGGCTGGGACGAGTATATATTTACTACCCGGGTACCCATCCCCACTTACCCCCTTAAAAAAGGGTACCCGCTGTAGGTCTGAAGAGATGGGTACAAAATGACAGATTTGGAACCGTTTGACCAGGGCTACTTGCAAAAAAAGTATTTAGGTACACTATAAATGATCTGGTCATGCATACACTGGAGTTGACTAAAGCCTTTACTTTATTCAAACATACATACTCGTATATAAGTCAGAAGGAATGCGTTCATAGTAAAAGAAAATGCGAACATTAGTGACTTGTAGTGTAACCATGGATGTGACTAACCACGGGTCCTTGGCAATTCAATATATTTCATCACCTGAATGGTAATGACAACTGGGCTGCAGTCAGCAATATTCCAGCTAAATGTAGTCATTAAGATTATGTCTTGACCAGGCAAACAGCTGCCTGACAGCATGTTCAGTGATTTACAGCATCTGGGAACAATGACAAACCATCATCAAGTCACACACCAACTGATCCCCTTACAACAAGCACCTACTGCTCTGGATGCATGTGAGATTGGGCATTTTATTTTCCTAATGAACATTAAGATGCTCACCAGAGAGGTAATTTTAACTCTTTCCCGAGAAGTCAATTTTTAGCAGTTGTTCGTGAGGTTATTATAGCAATCTGGTCCTACTGAGAAACCCTGGAAGTAGCAGGCAAAGCCAAAGATTGATGGTTGACTGTTTGTTGTTTAAAGCCTCACTCAGCAATATTCCAGCTATATGATGGTGACCTGTAAAAATCAAATCTGGATCAGACAATCCAGTGATTGATATTACGAGCAACGATCCACGCCACATAGCCCAGCCACCTGATCACTGGCCTCTTCTGACAAGCATAGGTTGCTGGGGACCGATTCTAACACAGAATCCCTACTGGTCCAAAGAAAACATAACCATCTTGCAGTGGCCTGGGTCATAAGAATGCATGATGCCTATGAAATAACATAACTGTCTCCAGTTTCTCACCTAATGGCCCAGCCAGTGACTGCGAGCGCTGCGGCCACCTTCGTCCCCTCTTCACTCGACTTATCCAAGGAGAAGGTCAGTCGCCCACAGTGATATGTGTCAAAACCCTGCAACATTCAACTCAGTCTTACAATTACGAGACCTAACTATCGGTAATGTTGCCGTTGTTCGGTATCTACACATCTGGACCTTTTCCGTCAGGCAACTCAAGTAAAGAAATATTTGATGAAAATACTGCTTCTAATTGGAAGATAACTTTGTGTGGTTTCAGACTTTGGGATGTTTTTGAGTATATTAATTATGACCGTATATCTGGAAAATTCACTTGGAACTGATACACACTCCCCGTCAGTTTTCCCTACCGAAAACCAATAATGCTGCCGTACTGACTGTTTTTCAAGATCTGAAGAACGTGGTTAACTATTGTGTCATGCACTATGCACATGAATCCAGGGCCCACTTGCACAAAGCGATTTTAGTGTAAAGATGATCGTAACTCCCATACTTTAACACAGGCTTACGATAGCCTTAGCACTAAGATCCCTTTGATCCCTGAGTGTCTATTCACGTCATCACTCACATTGGGTATTGATGGTTTTCTTTGGGTGTTCAATTTGTCCCTTGGGTCCAGTCTATTGGGTATTGTTAAACCAAGGAGTTAACTCTTTTGCTAAAATGATTCTGTTCAAACTTCTATTTCAGGTGATTTCTAATTTGCATCTGTTCAAGTTTTTCCCAGCTCACAACAGAAAAATACATGTCTCCATTATATCCCCCGCCCCTGTTGCAGAATTTATGACATAATTAAATCTAAACAAACCCTAACCTTTTTTAACCGAGGTGGAACTTGTCATGAAAATTGTAAAAAAAAGATGAGTTTGGAACCTAAGTCCATCTTGTTGCCATGGAAACGTAAAAAATAAAAATTTCAAAAATTTCTCAATAGCAAAAGGCACCAGTTCAGCATGTACCTGACAGACCTGCAACGTTTGATGAAAAAATATTGAACGGTTTATGAGTTATGCTCCGGAAATGAAACGTGACGGACGGACGGACGGACGGACTGACGGGCGGAGCCCGTTTCTATATCCCCCACCAACTTCGTTGGGCGCGGAATAATAAACAGGATGTAGTGCTTTTGTGCACAGTTCACTACATTAAAGTTCATGTACATGTTATGCCAGAATTCAATCATTAACAAAAGATCAGAAAAACAACACAGGCATACAGTCATAACAAGCTATTACATGTTGTTTTTTACAAGCATATTTGTATGCAGGCAACTTGAAATCAATTCGGTAATGGTGAAGTGATTTGTGTATTTCACCCAAATATGCAAATCATGTGTGTACAACTTACAAACTTGGCCAGACTGTCGTAGTTGATGTCTGGTAATGTTTCCCTGGCCTCCTTCAGCCCCTTGTACCGGGTCTGGAAGTCACGCCTCACCTCCTCCGGGTCAAAGTGGGGAACATGCATGTACCAGTCTGAAACACACATACAGCATCACAGTTACCATGGCAACCTGCATGTACCAGTCAGAAACATAGACATACAGCATCAGTTACCATGGCAACCTGCACGTATCAGTCTGAAACACACACATACAGCATCAGTTACCATGGCAACCTGCACATACCAGTCTGAAACACACACACATACAACATCACAGTTACCATGGCCACCTGCATGTACCAGTCTTAAACACAGGCATACATCATCACAGTTACCATGGCAACCTGCATGTACCAGTCTGAAACATGGCAATAGACCTGTATGATCAAGCCAATCAACTCACATAGTTTCCATGGTAACCTGCAAGCAAAAGTCTGAAAGACCACAATTGGCACTCTAAACACAACTATTTGTACAAGGAGTAAAATAATTTATTTTATCTGTAAGCATGATAAGTATAAAACATCAAAGTTAGTTAGTCCTTATGTTCTAATAAATGCATACTTTTCCTCCATGATAATACAAAGAATATAATGAGTGAGTATGGTTTTACACCGCTTTTAGAAAATATTCCAACAATATTCTGGTGGGGGGGCACCAGAAATGGGCTTCACATATTGTACCCATGTGAACCTAGGCCTTCGGTGTGACGTGTAAATGCTTTAACCACTAGGCTACCCCACCACCCCTAGCAGTGTGTGTATGACCAGTAGTCCGACAGATCACCTGGAGCAGGGTTGGTTGACCAGGAACAGATCTTCTCATGACTGGCACAGACAGACTTCTTCAGCTTCACCCAGGCTTCCTTATCTGGAACACAGGCATCATGACATGACTATGTATAGGAGAAACCATTTCTACGAGGGATTACCAGCGATTGTAAACCCTGACATGAGGTGTCATACCGAGGGGGCCGTAGGCCGTAGGCCCCCGAGGATTGTCACCGAATGTCAGGGTTTACAATAGCTGGTAATCTTGAGGAGAAATGGTTTGTTCAACTTATAAACCAACTCATCGCATAGACAACATTTTTAATCAAATAACTGTAATAAAAACTCTCAAATGTATAACCTGTATTGGAGATGAAATATCGCCTGCAGTCGTGAACTCTGTTCAATGAAACCGGTGACCTCAGCACGTGGATTTCGCAACGGTGCGAAATCTGCACGTGCATCTCGCAATGGCACGAAATCTGCACGTGCGTCTTGTAGGCTGTTCGTAGTTTTTGTTCTATCAAGGGTTTACAATGATTGTAAGCCCTCCTGCGAGGTGTTACAATCGTTGTAATACCTCCTGCGAGGTGTTACAATCAATGTAATACCTCCTAAGAGGTGTTACAATCGTTGTAATACCTCCTACGAGGTGTTACCACAATTTCAAAAATTCCATATCGAGTTACACAAACAGCCAGTAGGTTTATAATTAGTTATAATGATAGAGTCCAGCGCAAGAAATTGGCACTAGTCCTATAGTCCATGCCAAACTGCCCAATAGTTAAGGTGTCATAAAGACTAGTAGACATTTACTATTTTAGGGGGTTGCTATATGTTGTCATCACAAGACTAGTTGTCTAAAACTTTAGTTTCTATCACTGATAGAATCATATGAAAAGGTAATGTGTCAAAGTGAGTATGGTTCGACTGTGTATTTATATGTCCCATGAGAAACTCAAACCCAGGTCTTCTCATGAGGCAATGGCTTACCCACTTGGCCACCCCAGTTCTCCTGCCATGTAGAAGAGAACACTATTTTGACAATCATTTTAATGATATGTAGGATAAAGTCACATGAAAATGGACTGTTTGTTGTTGTTTGTTGTTTAACGCCTCACTCAGCAAAATTACAGCTATATGATGGCGGTCTGTAAATAATCGAGTCTGGACCAGGCAATCCAGTGATTGATATTATGAGCATCGATCCATGCAAATAGGATATGATGACATGCATAAACCAAAACAGCGAGTCCGAACACTTGAATCCGTTAGCAACCTCTTACAACAAGCACAGTTGCCTCTTACAGCAAGCACAGTTGCCTCTTACAGCAAGCACAGCTGCCTCTTACAGCAAGCACAGTTGCCTCTTACAACAAGCACAGTTGCCTCTTACAGCAAGCACAGTTGCCTCTTACAGCAAGCACAGTTGCCTCTTACAACAAGCACAGTTGCCTCTTACAGCAAGCATGGGACTGATGCAATAAGGTGAAACCATATAATGAAACTCCAATGCACCGTGGGGGTTCGATCCCCGGCCGCGTCATATCAAAAGAAGTTAAAAGATGGTACTTGTTGTTACCCTGTCTGGCGCTCGACATTAAGGGGCTAAAACAAGGACTGGTCGGCTCGGAGTCAGTATACTGTGTCTGAGTTGGGTATTCATGTTAAACTGCATGGTATCTCAGTGAGCTAGCACTATAAATCGGCATCAGTCCGGACTAGTACAAGCAGCCACATTCAAACACACGTGCATGCACGTCGCTATATAAGTGCAATCATCTTGGACGCGACGTTAAACCCAATTTCACCTCACCTCACCTCATCAATGCACCGTGATACGTTGCCTTGGATACATTACCCGATACATGACAAATATACATAATTTTGACTCACTTAACAAAGAATAACACTCTATTGCTACACAGGCTATGTGCTCTTAATAAACGTTCACCAGCCGTCAACTTTACATCTGTCTTTTTAGTGGTTCGTGTTCACTCAACTGCCAATCACAAGGCTTTAAACATAGGGCACTTTACACACAAGCTAAACATTGTGTATGGGCATAAATGTGGGACAGATATGAGAAGATTGCGATCATAAAGATTAAGTTATTTAATTTTTATTGTTTAATTCTTATAAACATTTCGTTATATATCAGCATAGCCAGATACATATTGCTTTCGGCCTTCCGTCTTGTTGCACCTGAATAGTGAGTGAGTGAGTTGAGTTTTTAACGCCGCTTTTAACAGTATTCCAGTTATATCACGGCGTGTCAGCTTAATGTGGGAGGAAAGCCCTAAGTGATGCAGGTCTCTGACGTTTACCACTTCGGTGAAACCAACAAGCATGGGTATGGTGCTGACAAACCTAGAAACATAATCAGGGCAAACTGGGATTCGAACCCACAATCATAGGTTTCTGGTGTGCCCAAGGGATGCAACTCTGCACAGCGAATCGTGGTGCACCTGAATAAGTGAGTGAGTATAAGGTTCTACGCAGTTATTAGCAGCACTGCGGTCATAACCAAGAATAGACATGACACCATGTGGGGAATAAAACCTGGGTCTCCTGTATGATAAGGCAAAGCTAAAACCACTTGGCTACCAAGCATATACCATTTCCAAGACTGTAACGATAAAACTGAACATTGAAGATGCATATTAGGTGTTAAAGGTTGTGCTTGTTCACAAACTGTGAAATTTTCTTCTTTTAATCTTGACTGAAACTAAAGGCCTAAAACTGAGATCTGAATAATTTGTTGTCATCATTGATTTGAAGATAAATGCAAAAGTTGCAGTTACCATGGTTACCATGGTTACAGATTCAGACAAAAGATATTAATGCACTAAATAATCAAATGAAGGACAAGCTATGATACAGCTCACTTTAGTTTGTGTAAGTTTAAAGTGGATTACCGTATTCGACGTAATAAGTGCCCACGGCAATATTTGCTAATATATTGGCTAGTGAACAATCCCAATTAGCACCCCTTCCGATTGATCAATGTACACAAGACCTATTTATTCGTGTATAATACGCACTCGTGTGTAATATATGCCTCAATTATGCGCAATTAAATTCTGGAAAAATATATCTGTCGTATATAAACATTTCAGGTTTTTTTCACCAAAATAATATTCTAATAAGAGCCCCCTATTTATAATTTTTAGAGCGCCCTGGGTGCTTATTACGTCGAATACGGTAAATTGCTTTAATCCACAATACTCACATGCAACCTGGTCGGTGTTGTCAGGCAGCTTCCCACACAGGAAGGACTTACAGCTGACACATCGCAGCATGTCCATCTCCGTGTTCTCCCAGCCATACTGAGCACATACCAAGGGGGACAACTCTCCTGGTTTAGCAAACCAGGTCAGAGGCTAGTTGTAGATTAAGGACAAATTATGTGGGCATGATAAGCTATTCTAGTCCTGAACACTCTGTGTAATTTACTCATGTAACATGGTCATGAAATATATGTAGGACTCAGATCTATGGTTGGACTCTAATCTGTGATGTATTCTAAGGATCCATGGCAGATTCTCATTGTTAAATGCTGTCATGTTTGCAATGATCTCTTTTCCATGAATGGACAATCACTCAAATGACATCATGCTTGAGATGACGTCACAACACCTTGCTTGTGATGACGTCATGTAAGTTCAACGTCTATTACTGATACTGGTGATAGACACTGCAATCAGTGGGAAACGATGGCGCTGGACACCACAGAAAATGAGAGGTTTCTTATGACAGATCCATGCCGGCAGAGGAAGAAAGGAGTATCGAAAGACCCTAACGCCGAATCAGTTTCAAATGATATTTAAAACGAAGAAATTTCTTGTGTAATCCCGCAGTGGGGAACCGTGAAAATATTCAGGATTTTATCAGCTCCGGCAAATGTGAGGATGGTGCAGAGTAAAAACAATTTCTACAATAAAACTTTGGCAAACGTTTTTAAGAAAGGTATCGGTATGCAATAACTGCACCGATGATGCTATGCCAATGGAAAAACCATAAGAATGACCCAGAAAAATCACAACTTTGATCATTGAAAGTCTACTGCTATATACAGTAGAACACGGATATAACAAACTACTAGGGACCAGAGAAATCAGTTCGTTATATCCATTGTTCGTTATACACGTTTTCGCTCGGAAACGTCCACCATCTTGGATAAGACAAAACACAATACACACGTAACTGCAGCATTGATTTGTATTAGCAGTGATCATTCAACTGATATCAATTTACAACATTCATTTAATAACATTAAATTCATAACATTTTCTGAAGATTGTTATCAAATACATGTACAAAATTTAAACATATTTATCATTTTTCGATTTACATACGAGATGTGTAGTCTGTGATTTTACTTTGGCCTCGTTTCGCTGACTGCATTCTTGAAACGGCATCATTCAGATCCGCCAAACTGTCAAAAACTGTTTGTTTTACAGACAAGATTACATGTACAGGTAAGATTAACACAATGCAAATTTAACAAGGTTGATCCGTCACCACTGATTGTATTGATTCGCCGCCATTGTTTTGATTCGCCGCTGATTGCATACAGCCAATTGTCAGTGACACTTGACACTGAGTGAGATTTCTCAGTTCGCTATACACGTCGCTAATAAGTGATAAATGGGCTTGTCGGTGATCAGGTATCAGTTCGCTGTATCCGTTAGTTCGCTATAGAGAGTTCGTTATATACGTAAATTTTATATGATATTATATAGGAGATAAATCGGGGATTTTTTAACAGTTCGTTGTATCCGTTTGTTCGCTATATCCGTGTTTGTTATATCCGTGTTCTACTGTATATGAATCTATACAACATTTAGCGCTGTAGAAATTACCAATTATTAATATTATATGATAATCTGCCATAGATCTGAGTATACACCAATATCCACACTATTTGAGGAATCTGCCATAGATCTGAGAATCCGCCATAGATCTGAGTCCTTCATCAGGCCTCAAAGTTTAAATTTTCACCAAGTAGCCATATGGCTACAAGTATTTTTTTTCAGGTAGCCAGTGGTAAAATCAAGAAGTCAAGCCAATATTGATCTTTATCAAATAACTATTATAATATTTACAAGTGACAGCACTAGTCTTGAAATTGTATCTTAATGGAAATGTCCTCGCTTATTCAATGAGCATTGTTAACTAAAATAAAGTACTTACATTAATTTTTATGTATTTTGGTTCACTGTCGACTTTAGAAGGAATTATTTGCGAGTACAATTATTAGCAGACGTGTTTTCCAATATCAGCCGTTATTTATTTTTGTGTCTACAGGTGTTTAGCAATAGAATTTAGTCGCCACAAGATATTTTTCTAGGTAGTCATTTTCTGAATTTTAGACAGTAGACAAACTGAAATTTAGGTCGCATTCGCTACCGTTTTAGTCGCAACTTTGAGGCATGTACATACATATGTAATAAAATAGAACCGTTACCTACACCATGTCCATATACAGTTGGACGTCTCAAAATATATTTCTATCAACAACAAACCATTGTGACTTTATCATGTTTATTAATTTAATTTATTGCAATGAAATGATGAAATTATAAACTATCCATCATAAAATGGATGCACAATGTTCCTGATTTTTGTTTGTGTATGTGTGAATGAGTGCATGTGTATGTGTTGTTTAATGCTGCACACAGCAATATTCCAGCTATATGGCAGCATTTATTCACCTGATGAAGGAGTAAGTATATACTCTGAAACATTGTGTTCCTCATAATAAAGAAATTGTAATCTATAAATTCTCTTCCTTATGTGTATCACTACTTAATTAGGCAAACTTGCAGCTCAGGCACTTTGTTGTCAATGTGCGAAAGCCAATGAGAAATGCCAACAATAACAAATTCACAAACTACAACCCTCCTTGACTAGGCGCCATCTTCAGTTATGCACAAATGTCCATAAGACAAGCAAGAAGCGACTTGATCAGATTGTTTCATAGGCAGAGACGCAGCAGTCTTCAAATGAAAATATTTACACTACTGATAATGGCAAATGACAAGAGCGGAAGAGCTGCTTCCCTTGAATTGAGAAATTGATTGATATTTTGGAGTTGATGGCAATTATTAAAAAGTAAAATAATAATTTTTCAGCCATTATTTTTTGTCAAATCTATGAAAAAGAGTTGTGGTGGATCAGTAAAACAAGAAAACCCATTGGTCTGGCCTTACTTCAAAGGATACAGAAAATGTGGCTACTCTGGCAAAGAAGGCATCCCTGCTTCTCAAATTAGGACTACTATCTTGCTTCTTCTCTGTGACCTTATTTTCCTTGTTGGGCTTTGGTATTGTTCCAGATGCAGTAGCCGTAGTTTCTGACCTGCTTCTAAAGGACAAAAGCGAAGTTACAATAGAGTAAAAATGTCCCCCATGTACATCATTCCAGCACATGATGTATGTCGATAAAAGTACATGATGTTTATGTTCATACAAAATTGATAAAAGTTATTTCTTCCTTAGGGGAACAAGACCTTGTCAAAATGTACCTGGTGCTGGTTGACTCCACTGAGTCCACTGAGATCCCATGCCGCAGTTTAACATATATACCCCACTCAGACACATTAACAGACTCAGAGCCAATCAGTCACTGTTTTATCCGTCACATAAAACATTTTATCTTGTCACATTATAACAGAAATGAAACCAATTTATTTCCAGGGACAGAAAAAAGTTCATTTGCTCACAGTTTCAAAAACACAGAATTTACAAAAAACAATAGCAACGGGTCTGTGGCCAGTAGGAACTTGAACAAGAATTGAAGTGATGTGTTGTTGTGAGCATAAATATGTTCCAACTGAACATTTGTTTTGTTGGAAGCGATATACCAGGAGTTTTGTACCAGTTGAATTTTGTTCCTGGGTATATATTCTATAGGAAGAAAACTCCTGGTAATATCCTTGCGTAACATAAGTTCGATCACATAAGCAATCCCGCGCCGTACTAGCGGGAAACAAAGCAAACATAAAGAAAACGAAAGCTCACCTTAATTACTGTTTATTAGCGTCCATATTGGCAAAGTTCCAGTGAAATCCACTGTCAGATCGATCGCTACTTCGCCCGCCATGTTTGAAGTAAACAAACATGACCTAGAAACAACGTCACATAAGTTCGGTCACCTGATTGGTTGGCTCGCTCTCCCGCATACAGTGGAATGTATGGAGTCCTATCCGTGTCACAGTACATCACACAATGCCACGTTGTCGGATTTATCGTTTTTCTTGTAATGTTTAGAGAAAATCCCACACAAATGTTAAAATTTGAAGAAAACATGAAAATTAACATATTTACACAAGATACAGTCTGGATATTATTCTTCTTTTTCGTTATGACAAGGGCACCAGAATTCTGAGTTTCTTCTGACTACACGCACTGAAGTGCAATAACGAAGGTGTACCCAATGCTGACAGGTTGGATGAGTGCATTGAGCCCAGCTAGTGTAAAGTTCTGAATAACAGTTGCCAATTGCCTGTGGCTCACGTTTGCTGCAAACACAACACACTTCATTATCTGCCTCTCTGTCGCTGTCAGAAGACCAATCCAAAAGATCGCTATCGTTGATAGATACAGGAGAATTATTTGCCGCTTTGCTTGTTGACGGTCGGGGCGATGCCTGGGTGCATTTCTTCTTCTTCGAAATTGGTTTGGAGGTTTTAGGTGGTTGAGATTTCCTCTTTGGCACATATGTCTTAGCCTGATGTGAAACTATTTTATCCAGAATTGAAGACTCTGTTATCGGCTTACCACCAACAACGGCACTGAGAACGTTTCTTTTCTTGGTAGGCACTGCCTTCTTGCTTAAAACATCTTCTTTGTCTTGAAAGAAAGTTGTAACATCTGTCAAGGAACTAGTTTGATCGCCGTCATCGTTTTCGCCATTCGACTTTGAAGCTTGTTTAAAGACTGTAGACGGGGCAAAGTTGATTTTGGTAGTAGTTGACTTGTCGAATGGATAGATTCCACATTTTCGGAAAGAAGACTGTAGATTAGAAGTAGTGAGTGAGAGATTATAGGCCTTGCATGCTAATTCACAAATCGAGTGTTTGTCAATTGATGATGAAGCATTCTCACGCATGGACTTGTGACGAAGGTTGTTGTAAACCTTAGAAAAGGGTCCAAAACAACCAACATCCATCGGCTGTAAAACATGTGAAGTATGAGCTGGAAGCACAAATAGAACAATATTATTTTCACGCGCCCAGGTAATAAGTGGAATGGAAATATGGGACTTGTGACCGTCGTACAAGACCAACAACGGAAACTCTTCAGAAGCGGCGACAGCGTGTTTCTTGAAATGAGATTGTAGATAATGCTGGAAAACTTCCGTGTTTGACCATCCAGTCTCCGTAACAGTTCCAGTCGATCCTGGTGTACAACCTGACAAAAGCTCCTCTCGCATTCTTTGTCCCTTAAAGACGAAAAACGGGGGAATAGCATTTCCTGACGCATTACCACATCCGATGACAGTTGTCGTGCTTGACCTCGGTGCTACAACAGCTGTTGGCACTTGTTGACTTGAAACTATGGAAGGTGGAACGTGATTTTCTACAAGTCCCTTTTCATCTACATTATAGATTCTCTGTGGACTGTCCTCCAACCTATATTTCTTCAAAATGCTGCCGAGTTCATCAAAGTAATGGGTAATGGTTTCCTCGGATGTTGCCTTGGCTCTTTGAAGATCTAAAGATCGGGGCTTCTTAACACGAAGATCAGGCCATCTCTTAACAAAACCGTAAAACCACTGCATAGAAAGAGGTGGATCATCTTTACTTCTTTTTCCAAGATGGATCGCAAGATCAGTGGCAATAGCGGTAACCTCTGCCCTGGAGTAACCATATCCAAAGTTAGCCATGACGTCGATGTGGTCAACTAATAACTTTTCTTCCTCAAGTGAAAGAAGAGGCTCCCTTCCAGTTGTGACACAGTCAACTGACACTTTCCCGCTAATCCGATCATGTAAAGTTGAAAACGGTACACAAAATTTCTCAGAAGCTCTCCTTATAGCCATCCCATCAATAACAGCTTCATATGCCTTGTCTAGTGCGTTTGACATATATTGACGGTACTGGCCCCTCCCTGTTGGTTCTCCATCGAAGATGGCCTAAAATATTAAATTCATTCTTTGAAATAACTTGCATACACTTTAAAACCCCTAATATAAAAAGTTCACGTCGACCAAAAAGCTTTAAATTACGTGGAAATCGAAATAAGATATGGCCCAGTGAAGCTTCCATATATTTTTAATCTGGCGAGGGCGTGACCTATTGTGTCATGTGACTTCCATTGACCAGATAGTAAACAAAGCAGACGACGTTTTCTCTGACATTTACGATGGCTCATTTCTTTAATATTAAGATGTTTTGTTTGTGGAAAAAGTGAGTTAAGGAATCCTTGGTTAAAAGTACATTTTTTTATAATAATTTGGATTAAACTTACGTTGTGCATTTTCACACGAAGCATATTTAGTCCAGTCGAAGCGAAAGGCTGCCCCTCTCGATGAAAGCTCCAGGTACCGCAAAATCTCGTACAACAACGCGAGAGTAAGTGATGAAAATGGCTGATCGAACTTATGTTATGATCGAACTTATGTTACGGAAGGATATATAGCTTCCACCAGAACAAATGTTCTGCATGGACACATTTATGTTTACATTTTACACACCACGTTCGTGTTAGCTAATCGGTATAGCCCTAGCTATAGCTTCAAGCTGACAGCGCCAGTTCGATCCTCCTCTACAACTGCGGCGCTAATTGGAATGCGAAAAAGTACCCTCGTGCCCTGCACTGAAATAAAACATTAAGTCCCAACATCACAGGTGACAGATGTTGTGTCTTGTGATAAAAATTATTCGACATTTTTTGAGAACCTGCATCATTACAGTTGACCAGAATACCATAAACGTCTCACATCACGTACTCATTGTCGTTTCCTTTTTTCGTTCCATCGCTCAAAAACGATGAAAGAATTTTTCGAACCCGCTCCGGCGTTACAGGACATGCATTGGCAGCCATGATGTTTATGACAGGAAGTGAATTAACTTACTTCCTTAACAGTTATGAGGTGTTTTCATTGGTTCAGAGAAACGAGACTGTCCAATGAAAGGATTGATACAGTATAGTATTGGCATGATAAATATGGCGGCGTCCATGGATGTTTACAAATTTTCGCATATAGAACCATCAGTTCCTGATGGACAACGTATGTAATAAGACCTTTGCTTTCAAAACTACTGTCACTTCACCCTGGTGTCATCATCTTACCTTTTTTTCATTTTCATTCGATTTTCATTTTAAAGAAATTGTGTCTTCGTGGTCTTGCTCGTCATGTTCATGAGTTATCTGTCAAAGCTCCTTTACTTGCTCTTCCTTCAAACTCTCTCAGCGACTTTAGGGTGATGTGATACACACGATCAGTATAAAAAGCTGGTATACTCACTTAATAATAAGACTTGTCATTGCTGTATCTATTAAGAGGGTTTACCTTGACTGACAAAACATTTGTCCAGGGGACACCCAATACAGGGCAACAATGCAGTTAACCGGGCGCAGCCCGAGCTCTACCATCCGCTCAATTACCGCGCTATAGTGCCACCGCTGTCTCGTTATACCGTGACTCTGGTGACTCTCGCTTCACGATCCAACACCCGTTTTGGGTCTTAGGGAAACTTACACATCTTTACGATCAAACACCCGTTCTAGGTCTTAGGGAAACTTACACAACTTTACGATCCAACACCCGTTTTTCGGTCTTAGGGAAACTTACACAGCTTTACGATCCAACACCCGTTTTCGGTCTTAGGGAAACTTACACGTCTTTACGATCCAAAACCCCTTTTCGGTCATTAGGGTCAGCTGGCTTTGGGCAAGGGTTAGCCATAAATTCTTACCTTTTCAAGCGTTAATCCAGTTAATCCCATTGGTCGGTCATGTTGACATAAACAATTGCGGGTGTGGTTTCAAGAAAAGATGAATGGGAGAGCAGGCAGTGACGTCACACGCATGCGCAATTCATTGTTTACTGAATTACGCATGCATGTCAATGGGGATTCTAATGACCTGTTAAACGAGCACTGATTACATGTGATAGCGCCTGTGGTTCAGTGGTAGAGCGTAGGCTAATTAACGCATTAATTAGCAGAGCCGGTGAGCCGGCGAAGCGCGTTCGAGCCCCCCCAGCGCTAATTGGATCTGAAAAAGTGCGCCCAGTAAAGTGCACTACTCCCCAATACAGTAGAACACGGATATAACGAACTACAAGGATTTGCCCCGATTATGTTTCTAGGTTTGTCAGCACCATACCCGTTCTCGTGGGTTTTACCGAAGTGGTAAACGTCTGAGACCTGCATCACTTCAGGCTTTCCTCCCACATTAAGCTGACACGCAGCGATACAACTTGAATACTGTTAAATAGCGGTGTTAAACCAAACTCACTCACTCACTCTAAACAGGGAGGGAGTATGGAAAATTGAATTTGATGTTGAGTGTTGACCAATCTGCCTTTTTAGTTCCTCTTTGCTGTCAGTTACAGAAGACAAAAGTTATTATTTACAATGTCTGCTACTAAAACATTACTTAAAGAGACAGGAATTCAACCGTTCTGAAGCTTTGTTTGTAAACAATAGCTGATAACTTACTCTGCTCTGTTCGCCTTTTTCCGTGACAGAATGTTCTGCTCCAGTGACCACACCACGGGTGTAGGCTCATCACATGACCAGACTTTTCTCTTGTTTCTAAACAGACACACATTTTCTCAAATAAGAACACACAAGCCTTCAGTGCGCTTTACAAATTATTTTCATTATTATACAGACATACTTCTTCAACTGCGACAGTGAGGTGCATGACAATATAGCTTTACACCTCAAATATAGTGACCTTATCATTAGCTCTCCAAAGGGCTTCTATGACAGCTCGTGGAGGATAACCACACAAATGGAAATAGTTTGTCACGTTTCAGGATATTTTGTCAATGAAAGTTGTGTTTATCTAAATGTGTAGACTCATAAAAAAATGAAAACATGAATGGACTGTGTAAGATGAGACAATGTGACAAAAAATACAAGACTGGCCCCAAGGAACTCTGGGTAGGAGAGTGATTGGCTTCATATGACAGAAGCCTACTTAAATTGTAATCTGTGCTTTGATAAACACTGGCTTTGAATCTAATCAAGCTGACAATTAGTATTTTGTAACTCATCTGTAAGAAAAACACACAAACTTTCACTTAAATTTACGTCTAATAAAACATTACTGACACCGGTTTAGTCTGCACAGCGCTTGCCTTGTCAGCTACACTATGTGGAGCTCCATTGTTTTGGTTTGAGAACTGAATTGGGCATGTGACGTCACACTCGGGAATTATTTCATGCATGATTTTGAAAAACACACAACCATCAACATTCTATCCCTTTTAATAAACAGCTGACTTGGCTGAAGATTCCTGATCAATAAATACTTCCTATGTTGCAGGTGGTGAGGGTGACCTCGCTGATCAAAGTATACCGGTAGCGAGGAGCGGACATCGTATAGTGGTGACAGATGGTGACTTGTACTCTCTCGGGGGCTACAATCCCAAGTACTGGGATGTGGAAAATACAGAGGAAACTTACTTTCCACTTTTCAAGGAGGCAAGTTATCAATTGGAATTCATAAATTATCAGATTTATCTCAGGTTGTTTTAATTTTTGTTTAAGCTTGTAGCTCACCTGACTGAAAATCAGCTGAGCTTCTGTTGTAGAAGGTTATCCGTCTGTCCGTTGTTAACTTTTGCATTTTTGACATCTCACAAACTAACAGACTTTTGGTGAGGTGAGGTGAAATGGGGTTTAACGTCGCGTCCAAGATTATTGCACTTATATAGTGACGTGCATGAACGTGTATGTGTGTGTGGCTGCTTGTACTAGTCCGGACTGATGCCGATTTATAGTGCTAGCTCACTGAGATACCATGCTGCAGTTTAACATGAATACCCCAATCAGACACAGTATACTGACTCCGAGCCAACCAGTCCTTGTTTTAGCCCCTTAATGCCGAGCGCCAGACAGGGTAAAAACAAGTACCATCTTTTAACGTCTTTTGGTATGACGCAGACGGAGATCAAACCCCGGACCTTCCGCACTACCACTAGACCATGGAGGCGGTCTAACAGACTTATGGAGTTGAAAGTGTTTAAGGATGTTCCCATCTATGGTGCTCACAAAATTCTGATCCATTTTTAAACATGGTTACCGTTTTGGCTATTTGAAAATGTCACTTTGTCCGTTACTCGGCCATTTCTGCATGTATCATTATGTAATTTGTAATAGAGCAAGTATGTGTTGTGCAAAATAGCATATATACGTTTTGTGTCATATTTTGAATTTTGATCAAGCTACCTTTGACTTTAATCATATTCATACTCCTGTTTTTCAAGTAGTACTGCATTTTCGGCATATCCTCTGAAACAACAAGGGCTATGAAGATGAAACTTTGTATTAATCATGTTAATGATAGCAGCTTTAGTTTCTCTAAACAATTTTAAACACAGCTGCCACAGTGTTAATTTATGTGGTCTTTTTTTACCATTCACCCTATAATAGTGTGAACCACTGATTAGCTGAATTTATCCTAATTTTCTCCCACCATGTCTAGTTATGGCAGTTCAACTTTGTGTCGCGGAAGTGGAGGAAGCTGAACACAACAGGACACATGCCGCTGGAGCTGGCCTCACATGCAGGTGGGTGGACCTTGTACCTTGTACCTTGTACCCATGTCTCACATGTAGGTGGGTGGACCTTGTACCTAGTGGCCGTGTCTGACATGTAGGTGGGTGGACCTTGTACCTAGTGGCCTTGTCTCACATGTAGGTGGGTGGACCTTGTACCTAGTGTCTGTGTCTCACATGTAGGTGGGTGGACCTTGTACCTAGTGGCCTTGTCTGACATGTAGGTGGGTGGACCTTGTACCTAGTGGCCGTGTCTCACATGCAGGTGGGTGGACCTTGTACCTAGTGTCTGTGTCTCACATGTAGGTGGGTGGACCTTGTACCTAGTGGCCTTGTCTCACATGTAGATGGGTGGACCTTGTACCTAGTGGCCTTGTCTCACATGTAGGTGGGTGGACCTTGTACCTAGTGGCCGTGTCTGACATGTAGGTGGGTGGACCTTGTACCTAGTGGCCGTGTCTGACATGTAGGTGGGTGGACCTTGTACCTAGTGGCCTTGTCTCACATGTAGATGGGTGGACCTTGTACCTAGTGGCCTTGTCTCACATGTAGGTGGGTGGACCTTATACCTAGTGGCCGTGTCTGACATGTAGGTGGGTGGACCTTGTACCTAGTGGCCGTGTCTCACATGTAGGTGGGTGGACCTTGTACCTAGTGGCCGTGTCTGACATGTAGGTTGGTGGACCTTGTACCTAGTGGCCTTGTCTCACATGTAGATGGGTGGACCTTGTACGTAGTGGCCTTGTCTCACATGCAGGTGGGTGGACCTTGTACCTAGTGGCCGTGTCTCACATGTAGGTGGGTGGACCTTGTACCTAGTGGCCGTGTCTGACATGTAGGTGGGTGGACCTTGTACCTAGTGGCCTTGTCTCACATGTAGATGGGTGGACCTTGTACCTAGTGGCCTTGTCTCACATGTAGGTGGGTGGACCTTGTACCTAGTGGCCGTGTCTCACATGCAGGTGGGTGGACCTTGTACCTAGTGGCCGTGTCTGACATGTAGGTGGGTGGACCTTGTACCTAGTGGCCGTGTCTGACATGTAGGTGGGTGGACCTTGTACCTAGTGGCCTTGTCTCACATGTAGATGGGTGGACCTTGTACTTAGTGGCCTTGTCTCACATGTAGGTGGGTGGACCTTGTACCTAGTGGCCGTGTCTGACATGTAGGTGGGTGGACCTTGTACCTAGTGGCCGTGTCTAACATGTAGGTGAGTGGACTTTGTACCAAGTGGCCGTGTCTGACATGTAGGTGGGTGGACTTGTACCTAGTGGCTGTGTCTCACATGTAGGTGGGTGGACCTTGTACCTAGTGGCCGTGTCTCACATGTAGGTGGGTGGACCTTATACCTAGTGGCCGTGTCTCACATGTAGGTGGGTGGATCTTGTACCTAGTGGCCTTGTCTCACATATAGGTGGGTGGACCTTGTACCTAGTGGCCGTGTTTCACATGAAGGTGGTTGGACCTAGTACCTAGTGGCCGTGTCTCACATGTAGGTGGGTGGACCTTGTACCTAGTGGCCTTGTCTCACATGTAGGTGGGTGGACCTTGTACCTTGTGGCCTTGTCTCACATGTAGGTGGGTGGACCTTGTACCAAGTGGCCTTGTCTCACATGTAGGTGGGTGGACCTTGTACCAAGTGGCCGTGTCTCGCATGTAGGTGGGTGGACCTTGTACCTAGTGTCTGTGTCTGACATGTAGGTGGGTGGACCTTGTACCTACTGGCCGTGTCTCACATGCAGGTGGGTGGACTTGTACCTAGTGGCCGTGTCTGACATGTAGGTGGGTGGACCTTGTACCTTGTGGCCATGTCTCACATGTAGGTGGGTGGACCTTGTACCTAGTGGCCGTGTTTCACATGTAGGTGGGTGGACCTTGTACCTTGTGGCCATGTCTCACATGCAGGTGGGTGGACCTTGTACCTAGTGGCCTTGTCTCACATGTAGGTGGGTGGACCTTGTACCTAGTGGCTGTGTCTAACATGTAGGTGGGTGGACCTTGTACCTAGTGGCCGTGTCTCACATGTAGGTGGGTGGACCTTGTACCTAGTGGCCGTGTCTCACATGTAGGTGGGTGGACCTTGTACCTAGTGGCCTTGTCTCACATGTAGGTTGGTGAACCTTGTACCTAGTGGCCGTGTCTCACATGTAGGTGGGTGGACCTTGTACCTAGTGGCCGTGTCTGACATGTAGGTGGGTGGACCTTGTACCTAGTGGCCGTGTCTCACATGTAGGTGGCTGGACCTTGTACCTAGTGGCCTTGTCTCACATGTAGGTGGCTGGACCTTGTACCTAGTGGCCGTGTCTCACATGTAGGTGGGTGGACCTTGTACCTAGTGGCCTTGTCTCACATGTAGATGGGTGGACCTTGTACCTAGTGGCCTTGTCTCACATGTAGGTGGGTGGACCTTGTACCTAGTGGCCGTGTCTCACATGTAGGTGGGTGGACCTTGTACCTAGTGGCCGTGTCTGACATGTAGGTGGGTGGACCTTGTACCTAGTGGCCGTGTCTGACATGTAGGTGGGTGGACCTTGTACGTAGTGGCCTTGTCTCACATGTAGGTGGGTGGACCTTGTACCTAGTGGCCGTGTCTCACATGTAGGTGGGTGGACCTTGTACCTAGTGGCCGTGTCTGACATGTAGGTGGGTGGACCTTGTACCTAGTGGCCTTGTCTCACATGTAGATGGGTGGACCTTGTACCTAGTGGCCTTGTCTCACATGTAGGTGGGTGGACCTTGTACCTAGTGGCCTTGTCTCACATGTAGGTGGGTGGACCTTGTACCTAGTGGCCGTGTCTCACATGTAGGTGGGTGGACCTTGTACCTAGTGGCCGTGTCTGACATGTAGGTGGGTGGACCTTGTACCTAGTGGCCTTGTCTCACATGCATTACCTTGTACCTTGTTACCATGTCTCACCCTGTTACAGCTGGATTTTGATATCATCAGCACTTTTGATATTAACATATCTCAAATTCTTAAAGTACCAGTTTTGGGGTTCTGTACAAATCTAATGGTAGATTTTCCAGATATGTTTACTACACCTTGTCAAGTTTTACTTATGTTTTACTCATCCGCCCTTTGAGGATTAACATTTTTTTAATGGAAACATCAGACTCACGTCAGATACTGGTGCCTTTAATTGTGAAATGTTTGCTTTCCTTGGAACATGAAAGATTGTTACATGAAATACTTTTGGCAAACATTGTGTAAAAAAGACATGGGACAGAGCTCTGTGACCATAAAAACTGTTTGGCTTGGTGAAAATATGAATGTAGATTTGAGCATCATCTGATCATATTGGTGTTGTTTTATAGTCACTGATATGTCACAGAATATTTTTGCATATTAGGTAAGAGGATGCGTGATCCAACCAATGATAAATAATGGCCTTTGTGTAGTAATACCAATAGTAGGATGTGACTCGGACCAGAGACTGTTGTGCTGATGTGCAGGATCTTGAGACAAGTTCACGTCACCATATCCACAAGGAGTGTAACGATATATTGAACTAGCGATGCTTTGCAATTGTTTGCCTGACGATTGTACTTTATCTATAGACATTTAAAGACGCGATGGTATTGTTGATAGCAAGCATAACAATAATTAGTTTCAATAGTCACAATTAGATATAAATAAAACATAACTTATGCATCAGAAAACACAGTTTTTAATGTGGAATTTCAAACTACCTTGTTGATTAACTTAATGTTAGAGTTACTTCCCTTTGGATTGAGCAGCAACAGGGAGGAAAATGGCTGACTTTTTTTTATTGTCAGCAATACTTTATTCATTTCTGTTACATTGATTAATATATAATAATCAAGACTTACAGTTGGTTAATTCTATCACAATACTATTGCAATAGTTGACGTCTATCACAATACTATTGCAATTGCATGGGTTACTTTTTAATACTAATATAACTATCTCAATAACCCTAATAGTCACCCCTAATATCTATTATATATTTTGTATATCTCCCAAAATTAACAATGATGTATCAAGCTGATGTTTACTTCTTGTTCCAGCTGTGCGAGACAACAACAAGCTGCTTGCCTATGGAGGTACTGGAGTGCCGTTCGGCGAGGCCAGCAGCAATGACCTGCATGTGTGTGGCCTTACCAGCCACAAGTGGCAGCATTTCAAGTGTACAGGGCAACACCCAGAGAAGAAGTATGGCCATGTAGGTGTCTGTGGTCTTGGTGTTCCTGGTGATACTCAGTAGTGCGCTGATTCATTGATACATGGGCAGTCGGGTGGCCCAGTGGTTAAAGTTTACTCGTCATGTCAAAGACCCGGGTTCGGTTCCCGACATGGGTACAATGTGTGAAGCCCATTCCTTGCGTCCCCTGCCTTGATATTGCTGGAATATTGCTAAAAGCAGCGTAAAACAATACTCACTCACTCACTCATTGATACGTATCAAAGTCAGGATGCGTATTGAGACAATGCAGTAGATCGATAAACAGTTACATTTCATGATATGTCATGATGCAAAACCTTTAAACAGTCACAATAAATCAATATATGTCAGAGATTTGTCTCAAGCCTGCAGCACATGCAGCCAAAATTCCCAAATTGTTCAGACATACGTAATTGTGAAAGTGTTGGCCTCCTCAAGGAGAAATTTTCAAAACAAAATACAGACAAGTAATTGTACGACTGAATGAAATGTATCAACACAGGTAGCTTGGGTTGTATAATGAAAATCAAGTGCACTATGATTATTCTCTCTCTCACTCACTCACAAAATACTGAATATGGGACTTATTTTGGTGTTATTTTCATATTGATGGAGTGAGTGGGTGAAGAGGTTACATGTACATCAAACTGTGCCTTTTGGTGTGACAAGCAAACACTTGAATAACTGGGCCACCCCACTGCCCCTCATATTGATGGAAATTGTCACGTTGTTTGTAGGCGATGCTGCTCATAGGCAGATACCTGTATGTATGTGGGGGCACTACCGGGTTCGTGTACAACATGGACGTCCATCGACTCAGTCTCGACACCCTGGTGTGGGAAAAGCTATCCTCGGACCAGGAGAGTCCCTCGGACCCAGACGGCAGGTAGGCACAAAAGTAGGAGCGTCCAACTGATCAGAGCTCAGGGACAGGAGAGTCCATCTGGTCCAGATGACAGGTAGGCACAGGTACAGGAGAGTCCATCTGGTCCAGATGACAGGTAGGCACAGGTGCAGGAGAGTCCATCTGGTCCAGATGACAGGTAGGCACAGGTGCAGGAGAGTCCATCTGGTCCAGATGACAGGTAGGCACAGGTACAGGAGAGTCCATCTGATCCAGATGACAGGTAGGCACAGGTACAGAAGAGTCCATCTGATCCAGATGACAGGTAGGCACAGGTACAGGAGAGTTCATCTGATCCAGATGACAGGTAGGCACAGGTACAGGAGAGTTCATCTGATCCAGATGACAGGTAGGCACAGGTACAGGAGAGTTCATCTGATCCAGATGACAGGTAGGCACAGGTACAGGAGAGTTCATCTGATCCAGATGACAGGTAGGCACAGGTACAGGAGAGTTCATCTGATCCAGATGACAGGTAGGCACAGGTACGGGAGAGTCCATCTGATCCAGATGACAGGTAGGCACAGGTACAGGAGAGTCCATCTTATCCAGATGACAGGTAGGCACAGGTGCAGGAGAGTCCATCTTATCCAGACAACAGGTAGGCACAGGTACAGGAGAGTCCATCTTATCCAGACAACAGGTAGGCACAGGTGCAGGAGAGTCCATCTTATCCAGACAACAGGTAGGCACAGGTACAGGAGAGTCCATCTGGTGCAGATGACAGGTAGGCACAGGTGCAGGAGAGTCCATCTGGTCCAGATGACAGGTAGGCACAGGTACAGGAGAGTCCATCTGGTCCAGATGACAGGTAGGCACAGGTACAGGAGAGTCCATCTGATCCAGATGACAGGTAGGCACAGGTACAGGAGAGTCCATCTGATCCAGATGACAGGTAGGCACAGGTACAGGAGAGTTCATCTGATCCAGATGACAGGTAGGCACAGGTACAGGAGAGTTCATCTGATCCAGATGACAGGTAGGCACAGGTACAGGAGAGTTCATCTGATCCAGATGACAGGTAGGCACAGGTACAGGAGAGTCCATCTGATCCAGATGACAGGTAGGCACAGGTACAGGAGAGTTCATCTGATCCAGATGACAGGTAGGCACAGGTACAGGAGAGTCCATCTGATCCAGACAACAGGTAGGCACAGGTACAGGAGAGTTCATCTGATCCAGATAACAGGTAGGCACAGGTACAGGAGAGTCCATCTGATCCAGAGAACAGGTAGGCACACGTACAGGAGAGTCCAGGCAAAGGTACAGGAGAGTCCATCTCATCCAGATGACAGGTAGGCACACGTACAGGAGAGTCCAGGCAAAGGTACAGGAGAGTCCATCTCATCCAGATGACAGGTAGGCACACGTACAGGAGAGTCCAGGCAAAGGTACAGGAGAGTCCATCTCATCCAGATGACAGGTAGGCACACGTACAGGAGAGTTCATCTGATCCAGATAACAGGTAGGCACAGGTACAGGAGAGTCCAGGCAAAGGTACAGGAGAGTCCATCTCATCCAGATGACAGGTAGGTTCCTGCATGGAAGAGTCCATCTGATCCAGTCCAAATAGATGGTGGTCACACAATGCACTTGGTCTTTGGAGTGAAGCTGACCAGCAGTTGTCATTGTTGTCATGAGTGAGGTTGTTGAAGTGGCCCACCAAGTGTGCTGTCTGACATCAGCATGGCCAGAATCACGTGAACAATGCTGACCTAGGTTTATATACACTTTAAACTTAAACATATGCTATACGTTCAACTCAGGTGACATTCTGAACAATGGACGTCATCATTTCTTGTAGACTGCCTCCATGGTCTTGTGGTAGAGCGTCCGCCCGGAGAGCGGAAGGTCTGGGGTTCGATCCCCGGCCGCGTCATACCAAAAGACGTTAAAAGATGGTACTTGTTGTTACCCTGTCTGGCGCCCGGCATTAAGGGCCTAAAACAAGGACTGGTCAGCTCGGAGTCAGTATAATGTGTCTGAGTGGTGTATTCATGTTAAACTGCGGCATGGTATCTCAGTGAGCTAGCACTATAAATCGCTATCAGTCCGGACTAGTACAAGCAGCCACACACACACGTGCATGCACGTCGCTATAAAAGTGCAATAATCTTGGACGCAACGTTAAACCCAATTTCACCTCACCTCACCCCATCATTTCTTGTTTGTGTAAGTTTGTTAAGTTATTTTGATCAATCTCACAAATGTGGCATAAATTTAAATGTTCATTCCAGCCAGGCTGTTAACGTATTTCAAAATAAGTCAATATAGGAAGGGAAGTAATCGTTTTTATTTTATTTATGTTTCATATCTTTTCTATTTCAACCATCCAGTTAGATTTTTTAACTTATCCTGCAATACTCCTATATGCATTTCCTGCTTTCTTTTGACAGGAAAACAAAGCTGTGTGAGGTCCAGCTGATGAATAAGTTGTTCCAACCAGTTGTGAGGCAGATCCCATCTCAAAGCTCCCACGTGACCATGGAAGTGATGACATCACGGATACTTCACATTACTGCTTGACACCGGACAGACATGTTGTGTTAATAAATTTATTCAGTAAATTTTGTGTAACCTGTTGATTCTTTCATTGTATCAAAATAAATGTGAATTATCTCCAATCATCATCCAGTTGGTGTTTTCATATTCTCCCATGTATTTTTTGCAATAGCATTAATATTTTGCACCTGAGGGTGACGTGTATTCACTGTAATTCTCATGTGATTTGTTGTTCCACTCCTTCATTTTGGATATTTTGTATGGTCTCTTACATCGAGGCATATGTTTTTATTCTTTTTCTGGCTTGGTAATTATGTATATTGAATTACTTAAAGCTTCTCCTTGACGTCTACGTTTATTTAGTGTAATTATAACCATTTAATTTGATTAAGTCTCTGGATTATTATCCTTCATATTTGGGTACATTTTGGTTATCGCAACTTCTGCTTATATTGCAGATTGTTGTGTCTTCCATTGCCATGGAAAAAAGTCACTTAAGGACCCAAACCCACGGTGTCTTGATTGTACGGGTATCTGTTCGAGGGGACTGAAGTGTAACTTTTGTTCTCCCCTACGCCTGTCGAGCTTTGCAAAATATCAACAGGTCTAATAAAAAGCGCCGTGCACAAATGACCCTACGACATACGAGGAGGATGTCAGACTCTCAAGAATCCCTTATGTAGGAGACTCTAAAGACTTCTGTTATTGCATCGCAGCCACCTAAATTGGGAGGAGCGCTACATACGCCATCTCATCTGAGCGCTACTCTATCTGAGTAACCATTGATGCTAGATATTCCACTGCTCCCTCCGCCTACCCAGGCGCTGAGCATTGTGTCACTGGATGGCCGACCACCTGGCTGCGATAGCGCCTCCGCCAGATACGGGAGTTGACAAGAATGACACAATATGCTGCATATGGTCACAGCGCTGGATGAGGACTTTGTTCAGCTTTCTCCAGCCTTCAAGGCCCAGGTTCAAGAGGGAAGACTTCCCCATCCATGCTTTTGAGGTGGCAGACCCTGGTCAAGTCTTGGACGAGAACCTTCATTGGATGATGGTTTTTTTTAAATCAACTACCTGGAAGATCCCTGATTCCCGATTGGCGTTCATCGAGACGATATTAGGTGCTCTCTGAAACCATTGTTGGATCTGACTTCTTCATCTCGTGCCATAGACCAGGTTCTGATTGAGATGAACGTCAACCAAGGGGAGCATCTCCAGACGGGTGTCTATTACCAGAAGCAGGCAGATTGACCACATTTGCCCTCATCAACTGGGTCTCAAGTTATGTCCAAGATGAGACGGCTCTCAAAGCACTTGAGTATGTCACCCAGAACTCAACGTTCTTCTAGGACTGGCAACTACCGTGCTCAGTGCTAGTACCTGAAAGAACAGGCTCCTGACCAGTGGTCTTTTCAAGGGAGGGGATGTTTGAAAGGGAAACCTCAGGGGTCCTATCAATCCCACAGTGGCAAGTTCCAGGGCAGGGCTGGACCCAGGAAAGGGAAATAGTGAACCCACAGACAACCACGACTGGGTCCTCCCACCCCTAGTCATCCACTTCTGTTCGCCAGCATCAATGTTTCGTTGAACATGAAAGCCAATTAGATTGTGAATGCCCCAGCCATATGTGCAGCACATATGGCACATAAACAATCTGGAGTTGGAAGCACTGATTCTAGCGATATCACACTGGCAGGATTGCCTCCAGATCACCCAGCTTGCCATTTCCACCGACAACATCAAGGTGGTTTGGTGTCAACCAAAGGACAACTCACTCTCACTCCTTGCTACAGCAGATGTTCTGTTTCTTTCATCTGGTTATTCTGCAAGGGCAGCGAAACCCATTGCCATGGCACAGAGACCTTAGACCCGGGGCCTTTATGATGATAAGTGCTACTCTTTTGAATCTTATGGCAAGGAAATAACATCAAGACCCCATTGCTGCGTCCCCACAACTCTTGGCTGAATACCTGTTGTATCTGTGTAGTAAGTGACACCTGAAGGGCAGCACCATCATGACCTGTCTGGTGGCCATTTGCTTTGTCTGCTCCTTCTGCCCTGAGGATCAGAAGGCCACGTTTCGTCCTCCCACTTGGGATCTGAACGTGGTAATTTGGTTTCTGTGTGGCCCTCCATTTAAGCCTCAACTCAACCTCCTTCTATAACCTCACCCAGAAGATTATCTTACTCTTGGCGCTGTCTATGGCAGCAAGGGTCAGCAAGCTTCACATGCTCGACGTTACCCGTGTCCAACTTGAGGGCAGGGAACAGTTCACCTCGGGCTGTGATGCGCTGGATGGCTGCCTTGATGTTCTTGAGGGTCTTTTTTTGGTAATGACCACATCTGAAGGTATTCCCACCGCTGTACCTTCAAATTCAGATGCATTAAACTGTAATACAGGATAACTTAATAATTTACTATTTGTATTGTTAATTATCCTGCATTACTACGTCTGAGGGCCGACCTTTCACAGAGCTGCCTCCCCACGGTTTCTTCAGATGTTACGATTCAAGCAGTAATGTGAAGTTTCCATGGCATCATCACTTCGTTGGTCACTTTTGAGCTGTGAGATTGGGTCTGCCTCACAACTGGTTGGAACAATATTTTCTTCAGCTGGACCTCACACATCTCTGTTTTTCTGTCAAAAGAAAGCAGTAAATGCTTTAAGGAGTTATGCAGGATAAGTATGCAAATGTAAAAAATATTTAGATTTTATTAATTTTCTTCGATCATACAGTTTAATAAAAATAAAATCTAATGACAAACTAAGTTAAGAAAAGAGGCCTAATATTGCAGTAAATAGTAAGGCAGTGGCGTGGCCATTGTTTTGATCATTTAATGAATTAAAATTTTATCAAAGAATGAGACAATTTTTACATACAGTTAGACTGTATGATGTCATAATGCCTAGTATTGTGTACAGATATCGACATGAGATGGCGTGCTTCCAACATCGACTGTATATATTTGGTGGAGGAACGGCAGGGGAGGCCTACAGGTTTGAGCTGGTATGTACAACACACTGCTACTGAACTCATTTCTTCTGTACTGCTTAATTTATGTTTGTGAACAGTTGTAGAGATTAATAGGCAATTACATGAATGGGTTATAACTATTGAATAGTTGAACAATGGCTGAATATTTTATGTTGATAAAGAGGATTCATTTTGAGTGTTTTTTTAATGAGTGTTAATTAATTAGTATTTGTCAAATATTTGATAAAAACTACAAGTGGTTTATTCTAGTTATTGTTCCCCCTTAAAGTTTTCACATTTTAAAGCAAATACCGTATTCGACGTAAAATTTTGCTTTCAAAATTAGAAATAGGGGGCTTCTTATTAGAATATAATAATAGTTAGAAAAAAACAATTGAAAGATCGTAAATTTCGTGGTTTATGCTGACAGCCTTTAATGATACAAAAGAAAAGTCTGTGCGTATTAGACACGACAGATATATTTTCCAGAATTTAATTGCCCATAAGTAAGGGTGCATATAACACATGAGTGTGTATTATACACGAATAAATAAGTCTCTTGTACATTGATCAATCGGAAGGGGTGCTAATTGGGATTGTTCACTAGCCAATATATTAACAAATATCACCGTGGCGCTTATTACGTCGAATACGGTACACAAGTTGTATTCTATTTATGCATTATCAGTTTTCCTTCAATAATAGCTGTGTGAAGCAACAAAAAGCAATACCTTTTGGTGAAAATCCATTTGCCAAGTAATATGGAAGATTGACTGTATCACGGTTTTAAGCCAACCCTCCAATTGGAAAAACAACCCACCTTCATGATCAGTGCTTATGAGTTTTCTCAACCCAGTAGTGTTGTTTACACCAGGAGACTTGAGAAGCTGGCCACTAAGTTGTTTTGCTTCCATCCAGATTCCGACGTTCTGTCTGACAGAGCTGGCGTGGGAGAACATCTCAGCTGTACCTGATAAACGATTTGGTAGGTGCCAAATGGAAAATCTTGAAACGTAAATTCACAGGGACATTTCATCACCCCTTTTAGTTGCGACTTAGTTGTAGTTCAGTGTCTGCAATATCTTGAAAATTATAAACAAAAAATATTTGCAGTCCAAGAAAGTCTTTATCATTCATTTGGATCTGATAATGTACAAAATCAACTTCAGCAAAACATATTCTTGAAATCAACGGGATACACACTGGTGAAGTAATAAAAATGGTGGTTTGTGAAATGATTGACGAGATATATGAGCAGTTCTTCTTCATTTAATTTTATTGACCATGGAACCCTTTTGACACAGTTTGTTTCGTTACGTAAGATTAGAACTGGCTCATTTGAAACTGCCATCAATTTCAAGGATATATACTGTTTCAAAATACACTTTTGATAAAGAAATAAGACTGTTTAGTGTAGTATGTGAAGTCAATGTTCTATCAACTATTGACAATTCATTAAACTGACACAATTCTTATAAACCAACTCAAGTCTGCTCTCGTATCCCAGGATTCCCTGCTCCACGCAGATGCCACAGTTGCTGCCAGCTGAATAATGGTGAGATAAATGGGTACTTCTCTTTGCCAGTCTGTTCATGGTTTTTCCCCATCCATCTTCTCAGTTATGGCAGCCTTCGAAATTGGCACTAGTCCTATAGTACTTGCCAAATTGCCAAATAGTTAAAGTATCATAAGGACTAGTAAAAATGTGCTTTTTAAAGGGTATTGCTGTATGTTATCATTATAAAGACTGTTTCTGTTTCTGTATGGCCATCTCCTGGTGACTCCAATGGGTATCGGTTGGTCACAAGAGGTCACCTGGCTGTTTGTGTGCCCCAAAGTTGTGGATTGACAAACCCCTGTTTCTTCTTATCCTGTATCACTCTGTGACGTGATGCGCAAGTCTGAATCCCCAGTCTAGTAACTTTTCATTTGGTCCAGTATACTCAGCTAATGATATCACACATTCTAACCGTTGAGACCAAATTAAAAAAAGGTGATGAAGAGATGACTTAATTGGATCTGATCTGAAATTGGTCTGATTGGTTGATTGCTTGTCGTCATACAGGCATGGGATATTTCCGTCTAAAATCGTAATCGTCTTTTTTATCATTTTGATTGTGATATTTCTATATCGAACATGCATCTTTAGATTTTTGGTTAGATTAAGATTGTCTTTCTTCGACCACGTGCCTGATCATACCTCAATGGCATGGGATGCTGCTCATAATATCAACCCCTGGTTAGTCGGCCAATACTCCATGACTTAAAGGCTGCCGTGATATAGCTGGAATATTGCTGACTGCGGCATTAAACAACAAACAAACAATCATATTTGAACACAAAAAATCTACTGATAATGATGCCAGATGACAAACAAATTCAGTCCAGCAAACTTGGGTAGATCGTTGTGGCACGGCAGATAAATATTACAACAACCTCATCGGCATGACATCACTGGGGATTAGAACTGGTCCTCAGCCATACCAGCTTAAGGGATCGGGTGATCAGACTCGATGATTGGTTCAGAGCATCCCTTGTCCAGACTTGATTATTTATAGACTTCCATCATATATCTAGAATATTGCTGAGTACAATGTTAAACTGTAAACAAATGACACAATAATTCACTGTTCCTGCCCGGACAGATGTGTACATGTGTGGGGGGATGGACGGGGTGAAGATCCTGCCGGACCTCTGGCGCTTCTCCCTGGCCACCCACACCTGGCTCAAGATGTCCCAAGACATGGTGCTGCCCACCTACTTCCACGCTGCTGACATAGCTCCGGTAAGTATTACTGCCCACCTACTTCCACACAGCTGATATACCTCTGTTAGTATTACTGCCCTCTACTTCCACACAGCTGATATAGCTCTGTTAGTATTACTGCCCTCTACTTCCACACAGCTGATATAGCTTTGTTAGTATTACTGCCCTCTACTTCCACACAGCTGATATAGCTCTGCTAGTATTACTGCCACCTACTTCCACACAGCTGATATAGCTTTGTTAGTATTACTGCTACCTACTTCCACACAGCTGATATAGCTCTGTTAGTATTACTGCCACCTACTTCCACACAGCTGATATAGCTCTGTTAGTATTACTGCCCCCACTTCCACACAGCTGATATAGCTTTGTTAGTATTACTGCCCTCTACTTCCACACAGCTGATATAGCTCTGTTAGTATTACTGCCCCCTACTTCCACACAGCTGATATAGCTTTGTTAGTATTACTGCCCTCTACTTCCACACAGCTGATATAGCTCTGTTAGTATTACTGCCCTCTACTTCCACACAGCTGATATAGCTTTGTTAGTATTACTGTCACCTACTTCCACACAGCTGATATAGCTTTGTTAGTATTACTGCCCCCTACTTCCACACAGCTGATATAACTCTGTTAGTGTTACTGCCCCCTACTTCCACACAGCTGATATAGCTTTGTTAGTATTACTGTCAACTACTTCCACACAGCTGATAAAGCTTTGTTAGTATTACTGCCACCTACTTCCACACAGCTGATATAGCTTTGTTAGTATTACTGCCCTCTACTTCCACACAGCTGATATAGCTCTGTTAGTATTACTGTCACCTACTTCCACACAGCTGATATAGCCCTGTTAGTATTACTGCCCACCTACTTCCACACAGCTGATATAGCTCTGTTAGTATTACTGTCACCTACTTCCACACAGCTGATATAGCCCTGTTAGTATTACTGTCACCTACTTCCACACAGCTGATATAGCCCTGTTAGTATTACTGCCCACCTACTTCCACACAGCTGATATAGCTCTGTTAGTATTACTGTCACCTACTTCCACACAGCTGATATAGCCCTGTTAGTATTACTGCCCTCTACTTCCACACAGCTGATATAGCTCTGTTAGTATTACTGCCACCTACTACCACACAGCTGATATCCCTCTGTTAGTATTACTGCCCTCTACTTCCACACAGCTGATATAGCTCTGTTAGTATTACTGTCACCTACTTCCACACAGCTGATATCCCCCTGTTAGTATTACTGCCACCTACTTCCACACAGCTGATATAGCTCTGTTAGTATTACTGCCCACCTACTTCCACACAGCTGATATAGCTCTGTTAGTATTACTGTCACCTACTTCCACACAGCTGATATCCCTCTGTTAGTATTACTGCCCTATACTTCCACACAGCTGATATAGCCCTGTTAGTATTACTGCCCTCTACTTCCACACAGCTGATATCCCTCTGTTAGTATTACTGCCCTCTACTTCCACACAGCTGATATAGCTCTGTTAGTATTACTGCCACCTACTACCACACAGCTGATATCCCTCTGTTAGTATTACCGCCCTCAATTTCCACACAGCTGATATAGCTCTGTTAGTATTACTGCCACCTACTACCACACAGCTGATATTGCTCTGTTAGTATTACTGCCCTCTACTTCCACACAGCTGATATAGCTCTGTTAGTATTACTGCCACCTACTACCACACAGCTGATATTGCTCTGTTAGTATTACTGCCACCTACCGTATATCGCTGTGTATAAGGCGAGTTTTTCGTACCTAAAATAAGGGGGCTAAGAAGGGGGGTCGTCTTATACACGGAGTCGAAGATCTAACATTTTTTTCCCACTGGCGATGTCAACCGGCGTCTGATAGCCAGCCCAGCATTTGACAATATAACTTCGCATTTCGTCCTCAATAACTGTTCCAATAACTATTTCCATACATAAACATGATTTGTATCTCTTTCCCTTGAATAAAGTTTAATAATTTCTGCAAATAAAGTTGAAATGACCCTCGCCTCGATGCAGATTGACACGGTAAAACAATCAACATCCGCGAGTAGAGAGCCGGAAGTACCGGTAAGCATTTGCATATTGCACATGTGACCTAACATGTGATAACCGGTGAAGCTGAAATCAATTCCCGCTGTTTTTATAGTTGTATTAACAAGTGTTGGAGACGGTGTGTACAAGTGATTGTGGAATAAACACGCTGAATGTGAAGCAAACATAAGTCTAGTTAGTTACAACATAGTTAATTGGCGATTAAATTACTCACCATTGTCTCTTATATGTTATTACTTCATAAATGAATTTTATTTTACGGGCCCCAATTTGGTGTCGTACCGTGTAAACACAAAATGGCGACGTGTGCTGGAGTTACACACGCGACCTATCGTTGTAGAAAAAAAACAACGCAAGATAAACATATTTTTATTGCATATATAAGGTTTGTGTGCGCACTTGTAATGTGTGCGAAATACGCATCAGTCGGAAAGCGCACGTTAAATCTCCAAAGTAACTAACTAACTTCTGATGTCCGTGTGCGAAATACGCTACAGTCGGAAAGCGCACGTTAATCTTCTATATCAGTCAGACTTGTGATATGTTTCATTCCCGGTCGCCTTATACACGGAGTATAGGATTTTGGGTTGATTTTTAAGGCGTGTACAGGGGGGTCGTCTTATACGTGGGGTCGCCTTATACACAGCGATATACGGTACTTCCACACAGCTGATATAGCTTTGTTAGTATTACTGCCCACCTACTTCCACACAGCTGATATAGCTTTGTTAGTATTACTGCCCACCTACTACCACACAGCTGATATTGCTCTGTTAGTATTACTGCCACCTACTTCCACACAGCTGATATAGCTTTGTTAGTATTACTGCCCACCTACTTCCACACAGCTGATATAGCTTTGTTAGTATTACTGTCACCTACTTCCACACAGCTGATATAGCTTTGTTAGTATTACTGTCACCTACTTCCACACAACTGATATAGCTCTGTTAGTATTACTGCCCTCTACTTCCACACAGCTGATATAGCTTTGTTAGTATTACTGTCACCTACTTCCACACAGCTGATATAGCTTTGTTAGTATTACTGTCACCTACTTCCACACAGCTGATATAGCTTTGTTAGTATTACTGTCACCTACTTTCACACAGCTGATATAGCTCTGTTAGTATTACTGCCCTCTACTTCCACACAGCTGATATAGCTCTGTTAGTATTACTGTCACCTACTTCCACACAGCTGATATAGCTCTGTTAGTATTACTGCCCTCTACTTCCACACAGCTGATATAGCTCTGTTAGTATAACTGCCACCTACTTCCACACAGCTGATATAGCTTTGTTAGTATTACTGTCACCTACTTCCACACAGCTGATATAGCTCTGTTAGTATTACTGCCACCTACTTCCACACAGCTGATATAGCTCTGTTAGTATAACTGTCACCTACTTCCACACAGCTGATATAGCTCTGTTAGTATTACTGCCACCTACTTCCACACAGCTGATATAGCTCTGTTAGTATTACTGCCACCTACTTCCACACAGCTGATATAGCTCTGTTAGTATTACTGCCCACCTACTTCCACACAGCTGATATAGCTCTGTTAGTATTACTGCCCTCTACTTCCACACAGCTGATATAGCTCTGTTAGTATTACTGCCCTCTACTTCCACACAGCTGATATTGCTCTGTTAGTATTACTGCCACCTACTTCCACACAGCTGATATAGCTCTGTTAGTATTACTGCCACCTACTTCCACACAGCTGATATAGCTCTGTTAGTATTACTGCCCTCTACTTCCACACAGCTGATATAGCTTTGTTAGTATTACTGTCACCTACTTCCACACAGCTGATATAGCTTTGTTAGTATTACTGCCCCCTACTTCCACACAGCTGATATAGCTCTGTTAGTGTTACTGCCCCCTACTTCCACACAGCTGATATAGCTCTGTTAGTATTACTGCCACCTACTTCCACACAGCTGATATAGCTCTGTTAGTATTACTGCCCTCTACTTCCACACAGCTGATATAGCTCTGTTAGTATTACTGTCACCTACTTCCACACAGCTGATATAGCTTTATTGTTATTACTGTCACCTACTTCCACACAGCTGATATAGCTTTATTGTTATTACTGTCACCTACTTCCACACAGCTGATAAAGCTTTGTTAGTATTACTGCCCACCTACTTCCACACAGCTGATATAGCTCTGTTAGTATTACTGCCCCCCTACTTCCACACAGCTGATATAGCTCTGTTAGTATTACTGCCACCTACTTCCACACAGCTGATATAGCTCTGCTAGTATTACTGCCCCCCTACTTCCACACAGCTGATATAGCTCTGTTAGTATTACTGCCACCTACTTCCACACAGCTGATATAGCTCTGTTAGTATTACTAACCCCCTACTTCCACACAGCTGATATAGCTCTGTTAGTATTACTGCCCCCCTACTTCCACACAGCTGATATAGCTTTGTTAGTATTACTGTCACCTACTTCCACACAGCTGATATAGCTTTGTTGGTATACTGCCCCCCTACTTCCACACAGCTGAGCAACCTTGTCCCTGCTGTTATCAACTGCACTTGATTCTCCATGATCTGACTCCAGACAGTTATATGTATCAACAATTAAATACTCTCCAATGCTGATTCCTTGCCTCCATGTTTCAGAATGGGTGCATGTACATATTTGGCGGAGTCACAGCGATCGACAATGTCAGAACAAGTGAAATCTACCGGATATGGCTGAAAGTCCCCTCTCTACAAGAAATAGCCTGGAATGGTTTGATTGGCGCTCTGCCAAACACGGACAATGTTGATAAACAGAATCTGGCAGAGCTTGGAGTTCCAGCTCACTTTCTTGACAGGATTTCATGACTGCAAGGATTGTCTCCCTTTGTAGATGTTATTCCCGATGAAAGGACAAAGAATGACCCCATTGCTTGAAACCTTTTTTGCAATGGAGCTTACATGTTATGACGTTTAATTTATGACTGATAGATCGTATATTCATGTGTATGTAAGCAAGGCCTGAGTACAAAGCTTATGTGATATATTTGTGAAGTCTTTCATCGACAACTGCACCATCACCAGCCATCGGTTAACTCACCATAGACTGGTTGTGCTGGATAATGGTATGTACTGTAAATCTTGAAATTAGTTCGAATTTAGTCAGGGCCTTTTCCACAATCTGATCTTAGCGCTAAGATTGTAACTCCAATACTTAAACATAGACTTACAAGACCCATAGCACTACGATCGCTCTGTGGAGTAGGACCCTGATCTTTTCCTCTGATACGAGAAGTGTGTGAAGGTGTGACCACCTCACCATAAGAGAAGAAATTACATGTTGGATATTTGCATCCTGTGATGTATATAAGGGGGTGGGATAGCCTAGTGGTTAAAGCGTTCGCTCATTCTGTGTTTTACTGCAGTCATGGGTACAATGCATGAAGCCCATTTCTGGTGTCCCTCGCTTTGATATTGCTGGAATATTGCTAAAAGGGGCGTAAAACTATACTCACTCACTGTGATGTATTAGTGATATATTCAAAATGGCCATACACCATCATTTATTCTTTAGATACCTGCCCCCCTGTCACTGCAAGAGTACCGTATGTCTTTAGATTAGAAACAGGATATATTTCACTGACTGTTGAAACTACCCAAAACACATAGATTCAAGCACTGGCATAGCATTCATTTTATTAAACATGCTAAATTAGAAGGAAGGAGTGGATGAGATTGGTTCAATGCTTCTGTGAACATTGATTCAGTTTTGTCAAGGCATATCAGGTACAATTGGAAGAAAGTCCCAAATTACAAAGGCTGTATGTATTTCCCATGTTTGTAAAACCCCAGCATGGGTATGGTGCTGACAAACCAAAGTTCACAATCAGGACGAATCAGGGATTCAAACCCACAATCATCAGTAATATCAACACAGCAAAGGGGTGCAACTCTGCACAGTAAATTGCAGCACTTTATACCCCTGGGCCACATGTGTAGAATGTAGACATAACAAAAGCTGGGTGCCGGCATTCTTTTCATCTTCTGCACTGTGCACATTTCTGTCAGGATAATTGCTGAGTTTGGAAAAGCTTCTGATGAATTGGTTATGGCATGTCCTCAGATCTTTGTTTTGGGGTTGTTTTGTACAATGGCACCCAGGTCTGCCCATACTGCTAAAAGCAGCGTAAAACAATACTCACTTACTCACTATGGCGTGTGATTCTCCAGATCCATCATGTGTTGTACGGGTGTGCACTGCCCATGAGAGTGTGTTTGTTCTTGTGTATTTGAACCCGTGAAGATCCGGGTTTGAACTGTTCTCATCAATTCATGCTTGTGGTAAGGGGTGACCATGCTTGTCGGAAGAGGCGACTAACGGGATCGGGTGATCAGGCTCGCTGGCTTGGTTGATGCATGTCACCGTATCCCAAGTTAAAGGTTTTGTTGCTTGGGTTGCTGAAATAGATTGAAAATGGATTATGTAGAATTTATCAATGTTGACTTGTTCATCTTCACAAAGGTGATTTTGCTGATGTGTTTGAATTGTGATTGATGTCATCCTTAGTCTGCATCAAGTAAATATGTTGTAAATATATTACTAAAATCGGGTGACCTGCATGATCAGTAGTGCATTATAGAAGGTTTAGGGCAGTTTAGCGGATGAATTACCTCCCTTTTCAAATGATGGCTGCCAAACAAAATGGGAAAAGGGGCCACTCGAATATAGAAAAAGACTTGAACACTTAGCATAACTCTTTTCTCAATGTTGAAAAAGTCGATGGTAGTCCTGAGTTTTATTAAAAAGAATTTTGCAAATTGAGGTTATTTTTGGACAAGTGTCCATGATCCAGGATTCATGTGACAGTCACATTACAGCGCTTCCTCACTGGTGCTACACCAGCACACTTTGAAAACTCAAAGTGTATGTGAAGTCAGTCCAGAAACTATTTATGTGGCCACATGTCATCAACCTGTCTGTCACGTGTTTGTCACTGGTGCAAACCAGAGTGCATCATTGCTCAGAATATCAATCACTGGATTGTCTGGGCCAGAATCGACTGCCATGATATAGCTGGACTATTGCTTAGTGTGGTGTTGAACAACACGCAAACTTGTTTATAGTGTGCTGCATCAACTGAGGTCATGTATCACTACAATCAGGGTGAAATAGTCGCAAGATATTGCCAACCAGGTGGGCTAGCTACTCTAAAATGTTACTAGCCAGTTTCAATTTTCACTGGTTGAATATGCAACAATTTGTTCTTTTGGGAATTTAATTCTGCAAAGATATCAATTAAAACCAAGATTGAAATGAGGAAAATATTGTAATGGGGGATAACTCTGATCTCGCCACCTCTATTCATTACGGATAATAATTTGATTTTTGATGGTTGTATTGATCTACAGAAATGGGAGAAGTTTTATATTTTGAACAACTAAGAGGTGTGCATACAAAAATCATTGTTAAAATTTCAGTAGCCAGTTGGCTAGAGACATTTTAGAATCTTTGGTCCTGCCTAAATTTTGTAGCCATGGACTAGTTGGTGGCCGGCTTTTTGACATACTGACTCCTAATGAAGACTATGTAATATGTGAATCAATTGATTTGTTTGTTTATGATTATGATGATGTTCTGTTGTCTTCCCTTCCAGTATCTGTAAATATGAACCAAGTCAGTGTGTACTTCTCTGTGCTTATGAAGACACAGAACATTCTGCAGATATCAAATGTCTTTTCTCACAGCCATGATCATCTTCCCCAGGCAAAAGAGTTAACTGACCCTTGCCGAACTGGGCTGGAATTCCTGGACTCGATTGTAGCGCCACCAGTGGCTATTACTAGTTATGTGCCTTCTAAGCCTCTCCTATGGACCAATCAGATTCCACCCCTCTTATCACTTGCATTTTTTTCAAACAAAATGGCGGTGCCCAGTCAAGACGACATGATCGATAATCAAGATCTATATTGTGATAAAACGAGTCTTACATCGCGAAGTGCATCAAATCACATGAGCACCTTGATTAAAAACGTAAAGATTCAGAAAATATCTGTTGATAAGGAGTTGGCGGTGCACATGCTTTGCGAACCAGACTTCGATTTCATTGCGCAATTTTGATTGGACTATGCATAGACTCATTAGTCCAGCCAAAATGTAATTCCATAATACCAGCCTAGTGGAAACTGGACTTTTATAGTCAGTTAACTCTCTTGCCTGGGGAAGATGAGCCATGATTGGTATTTGTCTTCATGTTAATTTGTTCACAATGGTCATTACATGTATATTCTTTTGCATTTAAAAAACATATTGAGATAAACCGTGGCCACAAATTGTCTGCATCTGGGCTCAACGCACCGTTTATCTTGAGATACTCACTGGGCAACCTTCTTTGGTTGGTGTGTGCATGTATGATAAAAGGTTAACTCATGACACCTTTCTCAATAAACTTAAACAGAGTTTAATGTACCCTTGTTTTTCAGTCTGTGTTAATGAGGGGATGTTTCTCCGTGTTGCTAGGATGTCGTCATGTGTGGTGAATTTCACCTCAGTGGTTAATTGTTTCTTGTGGGATTATCGAATAGGTTCTCGGAGACCCGTGCTTGTCTCCATGTGGGGATTCTTGGACAAATAGGTTCTTGGAGACCCATGCTTGTCTCTAAGTGGTGATTCTGGGACAAATAGGTTCTTGGAGACCCATGCTTTTCTCCATGTGGGGATTCTGGGAGAAAAAGGTTCTTGGAGACCCTTGCTTGTCTCCATGTGGTGATTCTGGGACAAATAGGTTCTCAGAGACCTATGCTTCTCTCCATGTAGGGATTCTGGGACGAATAGGTTCTCGGAGACCCATGCTTGTCTCTATGGGGGGATTCGGCAACAAATAGGTTCTTGAAGACCCATGCTTGTCTCCATGTGGTGATTCTGGGACAAATAGGTTCTCAGAGACCTTTGCTTCTCTCCGTGTAGGGATTCTGGGAGAAATAGTTCTCAGAGACCCATGGTTGTTCTCTATGTGGGGATTCGGCCACAAATAGGTTCTTGGAGATCCATGCTTGTCTCTATGTCAGGATTCTTGGAGAAATAGGTTCTCAGAGACCCATGCTTGTCTCAATGTGGGGATTCTGGGACAAATAGGTTCTCGGAGACCCATGCTTGTCTCAATGTTGGGATTCTTGGACGAATAGGTTCTCTGAGACCCATGTTTGTCTCCATGTGGGGATTCTGGGAGAAAAAGGTTCTTTGGGACCCATGCTTGTCTCTTGTAACAATGTAGACAGGGGACTCTTGTAACAATGTAGACGGGGACTCTTGTAACAATGTAGACGGGGACTCTTGTAACAATGTAGACAGGGGACTCTTGTAACAATGTAGACAGGGGACTCTTGTAACAATGTAGACAGGGGACTCTTGTAACAATGTAGACGGGGACACTTGTAACAATGTAGACAGGGACACTTGTAACAATGTAGACAGGGGACTCTTGTAACAATGTAGACAGGGACACTTGTAACAATGTAGACAGGGGACTCTTGTAACAATGTAGACGGGGACACTTGTAACAATGTAGACAGGGGACACTTGTAACAATGTAGACGGGGACACTTGTAACAATGTAGACAGGGGACTCTTGTAACAATGTAGACAGGGGACTCTTGTAACAATGTAGACAGGGGACTCTTGTAACAATGTAGACAGGGGACTCTTGTAACAATGTAGACGGGGACACTTGTAACAATGTAGACGGGGACACTTGTAACAATGTAGACAGGGGACTCTTGTAACAATGTAGACGGGGACACTTGTAACAATGTAGACAGGGGACACTTGTAACAATGTAGACAGGGGACTCTTGGATCAATGTAGACAGGGACACTTGTAACAATGTAGACAGGGGACTCTTGTAACAATGTAGACAGGGGACTCTTGTAACAATGTAGACAGGGGACACTTGTAACAATGTAGACAGGGGACTCTTGGATCAATGTAGACAGGGACACTTGTAACAATGTAGACAGGGGACTCTTGTAACAATGTAGACGGGGACACTTGTAACAATGTAGACAGGGGACTCTTGTAACAATGTAGACGGGGACACTTGTAACAATGTAGACAGGGGACTCTTGTAACAATGTAGACGGGGACACTTGTAACAATGTAGACAGGGGACACTTGTAACAATGTAGACAGGGGACTCTTGGATCAATGTAGACAGGGACACTTGTAACAATGTAGACAGGGGACTCTTGTAACAATGTAGACAGGGGACTCTTGTAACAATGTAGACGGGGACACTTGTAACAATGTAGACAGGGGACTCTTGGATCAATGTAGACAGGGACACTTGTAACAATGTAGACAGGGGACTCTTGTAACAATGTAGACAGGGGACTCTTGTAACAATGTAGACAGGGGACTCTTGTAACAATGTAGACGGGGACACTTGTAACAATGTAGACAGGGGACTCTTGTAACAATGTAGACAGGGGACACTTGTAACAATGTAGACAGGGGACTCTTGGATCAATGTAGACGGGGACACTTGTAACAATGTAGACAGGGGACTCTTGTAACAATGTAGACAGGGGACTCTTGTAACAATGTAGACAGGGGACACTTGTAACAATGTAGACAGGGGACTCTTGTAACAATGTAGACGGGGACACTTGTAACAATGTAGACAGGGGACTCTTGTAACAATGTAGACGGGGACACTTGTAACAATGTAGACAGGGGACTCTTGTAACAATGTAGACAGGGGACACTTGTAACAATGTAGACAGGGGACTCTTGGATCAATGTAGACAGGGCATATATATGGCCTGATGAGACTCGTACGTGGTACGAGTTGAAAGCGCTAGCCTATTAAAACTGTGTTCAATCTTACTCCACTTATTTAATTATTACTATATATATATATATCCTGCAGTTTCCAATATGCCTCTGTTACTTCAGTTATCATCATCATCGTCGTCGTGGTCGTCGTCGTCAATTAGGGCTGTCAAATTGGTTCAGGATATTAACTGGCACAGATGGAGCGCAGTGTCTTAGAGATTCAAGATGAAAATTACCATGAAATGGCATCATCGGTCATAAGGGAAACTATTCACCTCATGTAACAAGCAATGCCGTGCTGGTGAAACAACCCATGATTACCAGTACTTGCCGTGTAGAAAGAGATTACATCTGGTTTCGTTCATCAGTGTCTGACAATTTAGACGATAAGCAGATGACTTTATGTCTTGTTCGATGGATTTTCTTGGTTAATGTGAAAAGAGACAGGAGCCACAGACTTGCTGTAAATGTTGACATATATTAAAAAAGGAATGAGTTCAATACCCTCGGGATAGGTCATTACCGGTCTATGAACACTTTGACACCGTTCTTTGGCTCGTTTTCATCAGAAAAGGGGAGCTTGCTATTATTTGAGAGAGTGAGTTGGTTTAAGCAAAGACGTATATACAATCTATATACAGGGTTTGGTTTAAGGCAGCTTTGAACTGTTTTGCAATTGTATTTAGTTTTTGTATTAAAGGCCGAAGTGATGCAGGTCGTTACCGCGTTGGTGAAACCCACATTCACGGGTATAATGACAACCCTAGAAGCATAATCAGGACCAGTCTAGGATTCAAACTCACGATCATTGGTTTCTGTGTTAAGGGGCGCAACTCTGCACAGCAGATTACAGCGACTCATCAAACAGGAGTGATATTTCAAAGAAAGATGACTTTGGGCCCGTTAAAAAGAAAAACAGTCAAAATTAAGGATGCCTTTTGACTGTAATGTTATTGGTATTATTTTCTTAAAATCATGTTCTTGAAGTGCAATAAAACTAAAACTACTGACGAGTTGAAAACCAAGACAGACGAAATCTGGCAACACCAACGAATGAAATATAATGATATTTAAGTGTTCATGACCTCGGAAACAACGCTTTGAGAGCTGACACAACTGACAGGTTTGTTACTTTTCATTTTCAATAAAAACATTACTGGATTTTGTAGGAATTTTAAACACATTGGCCTCTGTGGAATAGACATTTTAAGGTATTTGTACATTGAGATGCTCACTGCAACATGGGATTTTTATGTCGTAAACTTGAATGAATGTCGTAAAGATAATCAATTTCAAAGGCGATGCCGCAAGAAAATTGCTCTTGTAATTTTCAGTCCCAACAATCAGAAATAATTTCGGCCGTACATGCATTCACACACGGATGCACGCACGCACGCACATTTACACGATTAACACTTTCACTACGACGTAAAATTACAAAGTACCCGATTACAACGCCATGTCCTGTCCGAGACACAAGCGTTGAATATTTCTCACAGGTGTTCATCGACCAAATTGTCACGTGATGTCATGGTTACGCGATAACCAATCAGGAATCGCCTAGGTTGCACGCGCTTTCAGTGCGCGTTAATGCCAGACGCTATGAATGGAAGCAGAAGTGACGCCCCTTCAAGTATACACCAAATAAATTCAAGAAATGTGAAAATTCATTAGCAACCGAAACGAAAACGAAAATAGATACTTATTTCTGACGTTTCTACGACGGGAGGGCTACAAAGAAAAGTAGATACCTTTTTCAACGTGATTTCAAACGTAGACAAAACGATTTTGAAAGACTGATAAGATGTAACTATTCATAAATTCACCAGTTGTAACATTTCGGGATATGATGAGTGACTGAACTAGTCACTGGTAGATCAAGAGGTATGTGTGTGTGTGTGTGTGTGTGTGTGTGTGTGTGCGTGCCCGGTGCGTGCGCACGCGCCTGTGTGCCTCCCCCGCACCCAATCTAGTGGTAGAGCGTCCGCCCGAAGACCGGAAGGTGCTGAATTCGACTCCCGACAGCGTCATACCAAAAGACGTTAAA